TCAATAACCATCCACCTTACAAACAAAAAGGAGGTCCCCAAAACGATGATAAAGCCAAGTGCATAGACATGGCACCCCCTTTTACTACCACCAAGGCTTTATCAATGTATACTATGTATACTGTGCACATGATACATATATGACCACAAATGTATAACGGTATATGTATGATCCTAGGATGAAATCGTTTACATCAGAGTTCATCAGAGATTGGTGATGTTGAGCTCCCAGGGACTAGCCATATTAGTGATAATTTGATACCTCAAAGGACATAAGTGTCTTGATGTGTCTTGAAGACAAAACTTGTTTGGTGCAAGACTTGCCGTGCACTCTCGGTCATGTTGATCCGCTTCCGCCATCCGAATACAGCTGACCTGACAAGTCTACAAAACCAAACTAGACCAAATCAGACCAAGTTTATGCGGTTAGAATATGTTAGAATATGTTAGAATCGATTACAAAGAGATGTTTAGAGCTCAACAGAATGTCATGGTGCTAAGCTCGAACCTTTGGCCATGGGGTTCAAGGCACAGCAGTTTCGCACATCCATCTCAACAAACAGGGCCATCCCTGGCAGGGGAAAATGGGAGATGGAATCGATGTATGGATGTGTGTGGATATCTGTAAGGGTTCATAAGATAACTTTGAATAATTCATGCATAGTGATGATACATATTGGAATTTAGGAACTACTTCAGGATCAACTTCTGGTATACAAATGTATACGGTATGAGCGTAACTAGCGAACAGCCGAGAAAACACGCGGTTCGTGCCCGAGTCCAGAGGAGCTTCCGGCCTCCGAGAACGGTGTCCGGAAGAGGAGCTTCTTGGTGGCTAGGCGTTTCCACATGTTCCTCAATAAACTGATCCGGCAGCTCTGGTGTTGGAGGACGTGGATCCTGCAAGGGTGAAAGTAGCCGTGGAGCTGGCACCAAAATGTAACCTTTGTAGAAAATATTAGAAAATTAAACACCAACACATACTCAAACACACCCTTGCATCCCCTTGCGATGGAGCCGAATGTGTTTCCTAGAAACAGGATGAAACAGGCATGACACATGCTTCGTCGGCTTAGTCGTCACGGCTCTTTGCACATACAATCACATACATGCCGCGCATGTTGAAACCACAACTGCTGGGAAAAGGTGGGCACCTGTGGACGTTCGTATTCGCAAACTCAGCTGGCTGAAAAAGGGATGTGTTGGTGACATATGACGATCTCAACATAGAATATCATAGAATCATGAAAACCGATTTTTGTCTTCCACTGAACCATTTCCGGGGCCCGCTATCTGCCACGGTCCCCAGCAACAGTCCTGCCGCAACAGGCCCAGCACAGCAGGAAGCACCGTGCCCAGCAACGGGGAAGGAAGCAACCGTGCACGCGCCTTCCGGAGGTGCCCCATGACTTCAGCATGCTTCAGCTACACATGCAGGAAGTGCTGTACTACATGAGCCATCCATAGCTATCTATGCTATCCTCTTTAAAAGTACATGCTTATACATAGGTCCATACTTCTGGCTGAATTGTGATATTCCACCGACCGGATAAAGGTCATTTTGGGATGAGCTCCCATACGTCATGGTGACATTGTTACAATTCACCTCCCATTACACCCGCACTACTAGTATGCCACATTTTTTTTGTTACTTAAGTCACCATTTTGTGCTTGGATAGTCTTGCGTAATCAGTTTTATATACACATCTGCTGTATAAAGAGTTGTATACATCAATAAACAATTAGATCATGGGAACCAGAACCACCAGCACCGAATGCCCGGTGCCCAAAGGTGCCCAAAGGTGCCCAAAGGTGCCCAAAGGTGCCCAAAGGTGCCTGGTTCAGGATCAACTTCACCTGCATCCCGGTGGGCTCCGACGGCAAAAAGACAGCCAGGTGCACCGTGGGCCTTGCAATGGACATCTTGTGGTTGCGAGACGTCTTTCGAGTCCTTACCCATCCTCTTATTGCTGGTATCGTTTAATATGGTAAATAATCTGTTGACATTTAATGATCATGAGATATCATGAATATGATTACGATTACAGTAATTAAATAATTACGTATGCTGATTGTTTTCTTTCCAACTGTTCTTTTTTTTGGCGGGGTGGGGGGTTGCCATTCCCCCTCGTGATCTGAATCCTGCAAATGATCATATCCTTCTATTCGCAAAATGATTGTAGATGTTCTTCAACACAACAAAAGGGACTTTCCATTGTCGCTTTTGAATACCAAAAAATGCATATATATATATATATATGTGTGTGTGTGTGTTTATTTATTTATGATTAATTTATGTATATGTAACGTACATGGCTGGTGCTTTCATCTGCCCATATCTGCCCTGAAACTATTGTTCACTTGGGGATCACCACATTTCTGGCGATTGAAGTAAGGCATATGTAAAACGGTTTGAAACCACCAGCCAGTCAGCAGCACCACATTGTGAATCATACTTGCAAACTAGGGACAAGGCTTACAAAAAGCATCAAAAAGCCTTGAGTGACTCTCCGAAGAAGGACGTTTTGACATGCCTCCACCTTCTTTAAAGATTCGCCCCACAAATGAATGGCCTTGCCCGCCCTGATGACCAACTCTGGCTGTAAGCCTGACACCCTCGGAGAAACAAAACACCTTACATTGGTCCAACATGATTATTTGCGCCCGTACGCCCTAAACTTCACCTCTGGGCATGTCTCAAAAACAAACAAACTGCAAAACAGTGCCCAAATATGCCCAAATAAGTAGCTTTGGTCATTTGTAGTGCTCGCTCCCTCTTTTTTGAAACGAAGAATGAACCATTCAGTTGAGTTTATCAATGTGTGCGGGCCATTCTGAACTCACCCAACTATCCTTGCCTGACATTGGGCGCTGCAGGTAGCTTGGTGCCACCTCTGACAAGAACCTGAGCTGATATCATCGTCCCCGGTGCAGTTCTGGGACCCCAAGCAATAACTTGCCATCCAAGATTTCTTCCACTTTGAGACGGGGCTGACATGTTTCTTTTGGATTCTATTGGATTTCGTGCGTTGGTTCCTTGATGGACCATGATGGACACATCTGGAGCATAGAGCCATTTTGACCAGGGAAAGGGTAAAGGTGAATCCTCAGAAGTCCAGAGCAGACAAGAAGCTGATCGCGCCCGCAGACTTGGGGAACCTGCCAGCAAACACCGGATCATTAGTTGTGGTTTCAGGCAAATGTTGTCTTCCCAATGGCCCAGAGATGCCCAGAGCCACTGGGATGTCAGGAATGGATGTGACAGAAGGACATGAAAGCTCTTGCCTAGAAGGGATTCTGATGGTTCCTGAATGCAAACGATTCCTGGCACCCAGCTATATACTATACAATCCTGGTTCCAACAGGTTGGAATGATAGAATCTGGCGATGTAGTAGAACCAAGGCTCTAGGTTTCCTTCCCCAATTTTTCAGCAAAGGATGGCCTCCTGCATGCCAGTTCCGAGCATGCCCATCCACGGAAACGCCATCAACGACTTCCAAACCAGCCTGACCGATGCCACAGGATGCCACAGGGCGGTGAACCCTTCGCCAGTGTCCCACGTGTCACGGTCCCTGGGTCCCTGGCCTGGGTTCCTTTGGGCCCCAGCTTGGCAAAGAGCCGCCCCAGATCTGCATGGATCCAAGCAGCGCCCATCCTATGGGAAAACTGGGTGCTGGAAACTGGTTACACGCTGGCATTGGGGACACTATAGTTATAGTATGCTATAGCTATACTTATAAACAATTGTGGACCAGGGGGGGTTCAGTATTCCTTGGAAAGATCTGGTTACAGTCGTGAAGTCAAAACTCTGGGCTGAGATGACCGCAATGACAAAATGCTTTTGAAGCATGTGCCTAGAATTTTATCATGATGATTACTATAGTATATCATGATATTTAGATGATATGTCTTGCAACTGGTTGACACGCTATGTGCTGACCCATTTGTCATTTGCACGGGGGAAAAAAAACACTGTGCCACTTGAGGCTGCAACATGCTGCTAAATGGCGCGAAAAAGCATCAAAGAACCACTGACGAAGTCTTCTGGGACTATTTGGAGGCTTGTCTTCCCATGACCATGGTGTCCATTTGCAGCTGAGGATCTCCAAATTGATATCCAAAGACAAACCCATGCTCCTGAGCGCACTTCAAACTTAGCTGGCCAGTGTCTACAAATTGAATCAAATTGACGGGCCATTTGTTAACCCAATTCAACCCTGCTATCATGAAGATTGCACAACTGGCTGTGGTTTCTTTCTAGCGCGCCACCATCCAAACCCATGTTTAAAGTTTAAAAATCAGGCTGCATTCAGAATCTATAACGCACTGAATACATGAATAGAGCATTTGTGCGGTTATCTGTCTGCAAACGGATGTAAAGTCTAGGATGTCCAGGGGACAGGAACCAAAAGCACTGGCACACACCGACGCGCAAGTCTGAAACTTGTATCTTGATGACCAGACTTGGGGCCTCATCCCAAACTACCCACGCTTCAACATGATTCACCGCGACCAAACCATTGATCCAGGGATCACATGCAACTCGTGGAACAACTTCTCGTCTTTGGAGTACCTTAATTAACTCAGAGCTTCTGACTCCAAGGCGAAGCCAGAGCCAGAGTCAGGCAAGCAAAGACATTGTAGATCTGTCCACTCTAGTTGAACACTGGTATAAGTTATAAGCATTGGCAATCCTTCTGCACACACTCATCTTTTAGTGCCAACATGTGCCAACTCTTCGACTCACAATTGCCTGCGCAGTTGCAGTCTGAAACGTAAAGAACTATGCCAACGAGAGGCTACATTGCGGGCACATGTGGCTATATAAAAAACTATTCCACTCATCTGAGGGGGGACTTGCACCTCCACGAATCCTCCGTGACCACCTGGTTCCAATGTTTCGTTCTTGAATTCCTTTCACTTTCGCTTGGTAAATCTCACTCCCCCCGGGACCACTGCAAGCCCGAAGGAAAATAATCACCAAAATGATAAATTCCCCGCTAATCTCGAGCCGTGTGCTTGTCCATGGTTGCCAGTGCCATTCGCCACAATGCTTTCCCATCTGCCTGAAACGGTTCAGCGAAAAACGAAGCAACCCACCAAAGCACAGGGTACCCGAATTCGAGTGCAGAAACAACGCAGTTTGAAGTTGCGCAAGAAGACGGAAAACGTTTGTATATTCTTCCCGGCATCTGAGTTGATAGTACCAAACTGCAATCTGTAGGAAATCCTTTAACATCTTCCCATGCAAACACAAACCGGCACACATACAAGGAGAACGTGGTAAAATTATGTAAAATCCACGCCCCTGGAAAGGCTACAGCACCTCCCTGCCTCTTGGAAATGGCAGCCAGCAGCCTCCAAACGTAAGGCCAACAAATCCTTGGTTTGTTCCAGCGCTCAACCTTGCAAGATTCGTGCCCCCAAAATAATAAAGGTCCCTCAGACAAAGGGCATCCGTTGTAAACTGCCAGATAGTGCCTAGCCCATGTTGGGGCTGAAGTTTCGAAAAAAATGAAATTAATGGCCTATAGGAAAGTTTTGCGATGCAGAGGCAATGAATTGTTGAAGTTGTGAGGCCCGCACCCGCGGAAACTTCGGCGACCCCAGGAGCCACATTACCCGAAAAAAAACACCGGCTTTTGCGCCCGAGAGTCTTTCCACCCGTGAATTCACTCGCTCCCGAACTGTTACACTTAGCAACTACTTGATGATGGGATTGACATGTTGATGTGGTTGAAATGATATATGATGTTGTGTATGCTAACCATGACCATCGTCCGTGGCTCGGAAGTTTTCTAACTAAACTTCTTTTGATGACTTTTCAAATTTCCCATTGCATCCACTTGCCACGTGTTTTTCATTACAATACACAGAGGAGTCTTTATTGATCTTGGACATTTGACACAGCAAAAAGAATGCTTTCAGCCAACCTTATTCCATATGGATTCCGTGACAAGCAGCCAATCACCTCAGTTGATCTCAGTTGTGCGACAAGGTGTGCCAAATGTAAGTATATAGGCTTATAGGATCTGATTTTGCGGACATCATCTTCAATCTCCATTTTTGGAGGTGGGCTGGCAGGTGCCTTCACTTGCTCTCCAGGTCCACCAAGAGTTCGGCCAAGTCTCGTAGTAGGAGCCTTACAACGCAGCCCAGTGCCCTAGCCATCAGGACATCTACAGTACAGTCTACAATGCCAAGAATGACTCTTGGATACTCTTGGATTCTCCCACTATGTGACGCTCCCAGCCACAATCATAAGGGTTTTTCAACGGTGCTCTCCCGACCTTCACATCCCATGGATTCCCATGGCTAGGCACATCCCGCAGCCCAGCTGGAGAGCTGCCCTTTCAACTTGTTCCAATGTTTCAGGCGGAGCTGACCCAGCAGCTCGCTACCTTTTTTCGGATGGGTCAACTTGGGAAGCTCACAGACTCAGGTGAAGACCATGTAAAACCATTGTCCCTACACCATACGCATGAAATACCACCCTAGAAACTTGAAACCCTGGTTGATAGTGTTGGATCTATTCATTTGCTTCACTTGGAAGGACCCTATTAGGGTACTTTGTATCACCGGCAGGGGATAAGAAAACCATAGAAAACCACACCCAGTGACATACCATTTGGATCCATTTGGGGATTGCTACAAACTTTGTTAAAGGGAATGCCCCATCAGGGTTTATGATTGAGTCTACCATGGTGTTTGAGGACATTTCCTCCGGTGATCAAGACTTGTGATAGAAAATGCGGAAGCGGGTGTTGGGTGATTCTCCGATTGAACATGGCATAACATGGCGAACCCTTGCTATGTTTGATGATTAAAGGGACCTACAGGGTACATGGACATCACCACACTTGCTTTTTTCTTTGCGCTTCATTGCCCTACACCCGCGGCCCGCGGCAAAACTTACCAAGGAAAAGTAGGCTCCATGAAGACTAACTGGTGCGGTTGCAAGCGCCCATTGACCATGTAAAAACAATCTAAGACTAGCTGGGAGTTGTGCAAGGCTACACACTTCATGTTTAAATATGTTTCAGATTGTTTAAATACCCTTGTATATTGAAGAACAAAACAGAACAGAAATAACATAATCACATATAATCACGAGATATCACGAGTTCGAAACTAATCAGGGCAGGGAGAACACACGTTATCGGCTGTCGACACCTGGATCCTGTTTGGGTGCAAATGGGTGCAGGATTTCGAGTTGAATCATGTCTAGGTTGTTCTTGAGCACTGACGTGGTTTCTGCGGACTACTAAATTCAATCCTCAGTCTTAATTTTTGTTAACGTTCCTTTGCAAACAATACTTAAATACATTTAAAAACATTTAAATACTTAAGATCTTATAATCTGTCCCCAGGGGGTAATCTTGCGTTGTCATCACACAACTAACCCAGGTTCATGTGCATAACATAAGTCGTATGTTCTTTCCTCATGCTTTCCACCGTCCCCTGGCTCCATGTTGTCGCTGCCAAAGGAACGTCGCTCCTCAGTCAGGGGTTGCCTCGGATTGGTGACTCAGCTTCGATAGCTATGCTATGCCCAAACCTCCAAGATCCTCCAAGCATCTCCAAACACTTCATCCAAGTGACGGATGCAACACAGTTCCATCCTTGGATGCGATGCCTTTCCACATGCACTGGGAGTACGGGGTCATATAAGCTGCGTGTGTCAATCTCACGAGACCCGTATGCTCTGCCTATAGCATGGAGCAAGTGGATAGGCTATCGGATTGGACGTTTACGGACGTTGCATAGAAATGCTTGGGCAAACACTCCTAAAAACAACAAGACTCAAAACAAGGAGTCTTAAGTTGGCAGGACTTTTGGCGAAAGCACTGCTACACTAAGTAAAATCAGTAAAGTAGCATCAATCATGCCTCCAAGCCAGGAAGACACGCATAGAATGAGTGTTCTACCATGCTCTCCCATTTTGACGACCTTCTGGACATCCCCACCAAAGCCTGCATTTGTGATCCTCTGATAAAAAGTTCAAGCAGTATCTGAACCATGACCTACCTATTCATCCATTTTCATCCTATTTCATTGTCAACGTTACCTACATTTCCACCGTTTGCTCTGACAGCTGATTCACCATGACTTGCCCGTCCATCCCGGTCACCGAGGTCCCAGATGCAGCGGCATTTTGAGCGCCCTGGACTGCGCGTAGCTCTGCAAGTTGCAGTTGGTATGCCCATCCGCCAGCTGCAAGATAGCCTGCGTAGCTGCCCAGGCCGATAGAAACTCCTTTTGAGGCAGCATCCCATCGATCTAATCACATAATCCTCCAAAATATTGAACATGCTGTCCAAGAAATAAGTCTCCGGGAACTGGAACTCTTTGTTTTCCAAGTGGTACAGGATCAAAGAATAGATTGCATCACAGGCATTCCCTTCAAACAGAAACCACCTGAAACCAACTTTAGCCACGTGGCGCCCAAGCAGCGCCCAAACAACTTTCATTAGCGCCTCATTGGCCTCAGTCCAATTCTCTCAGCACCAAGAAACTCTGTCAAAATATGTCAAAATATGTCAAAATGGATCAAAATGGTATCCATTGTACTGTCTTCCCTGAACACAGACCCAGCATGAGCCAACCACGACAATGAGCAAAATATCAGTGAATTCAAGCATCTTGGTATCAAAATACCATGCCATTGGGCCACGATACATTCAGAGTACCTGCAGCAGTGCCCCTGCCAGTTAGATCAGCGCTGATGCGCCGCCAGGGCCGCCTTTGCCCTGAAAGTAGGTGGCTGAGCACCTGAATGGTGCGGCTGGGCGATGCTGGAAATTCACGATGGTATCATGTGAAACCTGTGAACTTATGGCAAACATGGCAAATTTGGCCAATGTCAAAAGCAAACTTCAGGCACATCTGGGGTTCTTCTGTGTCAAAGAGCCTCTAAAAATTCCAAATTTCTGTGGATATCAACTCTTCACATCTCTTCACAATTGGTTCAGGTGCCCTCGGCCGTTTCCCCCAGCACCGGTGGCATCGCCAGGCGTATGCACATGTTGGGCATGGAGCCAAAGAGATCGTCCTGCAGCTGACCTCAGCGGAGCATGACACATATATTGGCCTACAAAAAAAAGCAGATCTTAGTAGCGTGCTCATGGAAGTGTATCGGAAGTATCATGAAGATTCATGAAGTATCATATGAACAGTGGATCAAACTTGATCCCTTCAATGGAACACCCACCTGCAATCAGCAACACGGACAGTTCCTGCCGAGGAGCCCTGGGCCTCGTCCTGAAAACAACTTATATATTCTGGCTTGGTTCCAGAAACACGTCGTGTATATATGTCCAGCCATGACCTGATTGCTGGCCTGAACCCATCCCGAGAGTAATCAACGAATGATGCCAACTAGGGAGGAAAACAAAGATGAACTTGAAACATCTTGAAACATCTTGAAACATCTTGAAACATCTTGAAACATCTTGAAGCCATAAACCGTTTGTCACAAACCAAATAATTAATCAGGAACATTGGACCATTGTCAAGGTCAGTAGTTATGGTCAGTTATGGTCAGTTGTGGCCAGTTCGAGACCCCAAAAGTCCTCCTCTAACCGAAGTCCAGCACCAGCGGCCCCCAGGATGTTCAAATTCTGGGCCAACGAACTGGATGAACTACGGGACGTGCAAACGGAAATCGAAAGGGACCAAAAGATACCAAAATGATCCAAAATTGATTGCCGATTCTGAAGAAAGAATAGAAAATACTTTGAAATGAAATATAATATAAATAAAGAAATGATTCTTCTTCTAGCTCCGAGTCCCCAAATTGAGAAGATGTAAGCATTTCAAGACATTCCAAGGGCTATCTATTATTTTTGTGCTCAATCAGCCCAAGCCGCCCGGGCACCAACGCCCTGGATGGATGTCAGCCACAGCTAGGGTGGGTTGATTCCACTGACACCTCCATCTTTGCCAAGCATCAAATCCGTTGATGCTGATGTCTCCTGACAATGGCTGAAACATCCCAGGCTGTTTGAAAAACATAAGCAATTTATAGGGGCATGTGGCCGGCAACCTAGGCTGACCCCACTTGCCAAGACTGCAACCCAGTGGCGCTGCATACGTGGGCAGAAAGACTCGCCCTCTTCGCAAGCAGAGACCTCCCTACCTACGCGAAATGGCGCTGTGAGACAATTTGGGCGGTCGCAACTTTTGTGTCAAACATAAACGAAAAAGATTGTGATGGTGTAGGTGTAGTCCGCTCATCTCTCCCATCTCTCTCTCTCTTTCTGCACCCAGCCCCCACCTGTACCTTCTGAAGGGTTGGATGTACTTTCCGTATCTTTCCGTCAGATATACACGTAAGACTCTCCGCCAAGGAACAAGGCATCTGGGGATCCGTTTCAGGAACAGCAGCCGGCAAATGAAAAAGGCCAACCCTGAGCCGTGGCGGATTCTCGGCACCAGCTCCTGACTGAGTGTCACCAACTCCTAAGAATATCCGCCTTTCCAAACCAGTTGCTATAGTTCCTGCATTAGTATAACATAGTATAACAGGATAATAACTGCCAACACTATCTTGTGAATATGGCCTGGGCCAACTTCAACATCTTCAACCAGAAACATGTAGAAACTTTGGGTGATGCACCCATTGAGATGGACCTGTCGTGTTGAAGACGAATGTTGCCCCACACAATGCGGCCTATATAATTCCCGAGTATCGGCGTATCGGGCCAAATGCAAACACTGTCACCCCATCTATTGGCTGCTACAGTAGTGACCCAGTGGTGGATATGTGCTGCAGCTGAGAAAAACAGCAACACATGGAATTTCAAGATGTTGATGTCAAGACGAGCATGATATTGATATTCATTAAACTTAATTGGCTGAACATGGTTGAACTATGTTGAACTAAAAACAATATCGATATTGCCAGACGACAGAATAAGAATGTCGTCTTTGCATGTCTTTGCGACTTCAGCATGGCAAGGTGCTGAATGTGCGCCAGGAACTTCTCTGCGCTTTCAGTCTCCTCACCTGTCTAGATGTTCTGCCACTGACTGCACGGATGAAAGTTCCATCCCTAGGTCCTAGGCGTCCTAGGTGTGCTGGAGGATGATTCTCTTTCGCGTCTTTCTCAGACAACCTCAAATATATTGTTGGATATTGTTGGATCATGTTGGTAGAATCACACATTCCCACATCCATCCAGAACCTGCCTATATGGATGGCAAACATGACCTGTCTTGCAGTGAAGTCGAAGGACTTGCAGTCACTCCCTACCAGCAGAGAACCGCATTACCTTGACACACCATGAGACCCAGGCCGCCTGTGTGTCTCATTGTTTCCAACTTCAAGGAGAAATCTGAAGCCTCACAACATGGATCCAAGATGATCCAAATTTCTCCCTAGAATCAAATATTCAAAGTAGATCCTCAGTGATGGAAACACCATGACGGACCTGCCATTCCTACCTCGCCTCCCGCAAAAAGCTTCTGAACTTGAACGCTTTGAACCCCAAAACAATATACTGTAACATAATCAAAACAAGTGCGTATCGCGTAGTGTAAAACCATGCTACAAATCTTTTGTCCGACAGTACTGGCTTCACAAACATCCTGGGCATTCTGTGGTTCGACCCACCTTCACCTCCACACAGTTGATGATTGAGTCCTTGATGTGCCCATCATCTTTGAGGGAGGGAAGGCTTCGGAAGGCTCGGAAAGTTTGCAAACGAACCAGACACACATATTCCCGGTTTTTCTTTAGCCATTGAGTTGTATATAACATTAAGTATAGCTAAGTATAGCATCAAGAAGGCAACACCAAGCGTGCACGACAAGTTTCAACCATCTGTTTCACAGAACCAAATCTATCTGACTTCGCAGCGAAGGTCAGCGCGACCTGCACTTCGATGCAGGATCTAGAATCACAAAGGGTTGGCGGGAGGCATTGCACGGTTGGATAGAAATCCTTTAGGTTCACACATGTCGACTCCAATGGCAAGGGGTTGCAACTTCGAGGTTGCAGCAGGTTCGAAGGCGGGGCTTCTGGAAGTACTCTGGACCAAACCTCCTCGCGATATCTCCGCTCCATGATGTTGAAGAGATTCTCTAACCTTGCAACCAGTGAAACGGACTGAGACTGGCTATACCCTCCCATCTGTTATATAACAAAAATCAAAAACTGCAGTTTTAATTTTTCCCGCATTGGCATTGGTAAAACATTTTTGCATGTTTTTTGGAAGCAGCAGGAGCAAACGAATTCTCAATTCTCCAACCAACTATCATTCCCTTTAACGTCCTCGATTGCCGTCAAGGGACTGCGCAAGGGCAGCACTTTGTGCGCCCTGTGCAGCAGCCACTTTATCCCATTCCTCGGTTCAGCCAGGGATCTTCCTGGAACCTCCACTGTGTGACAAATTCGGCAAGCTACGGCCTTAAACGGAACATGCATACAGTACATAAATGTGGTTTGGTGCATCAATGAAGGAAACTTGCCCCCCCAAAAAAAAGTATTTGCCTCCTGGAGCCCCAGTCCAGATTCTTCTTCCCGGCGATATGACTACATGCATGCTGGAGCATGACCACATCAGCTGCCATAGGCCATGTGTCGTTGTCCGGTCGGTTGTCTTTTTATGTGGAGCGAGATTTGGATTCAACTATTCGGATCTATTTGGGCCCTTTCACCCAAAATGCCAAAGTGCCCTTCGCCTCATGTGCCTGCCGTGCTTCTTTCAGTCATACTGATACTTCAAAACCTCCTAGTCTCAAAATTCTCAACGAGCTTGTTTCATGCACTCATCCAGTCTTGACTTCCGCTCGCCCACATGTCAAAACAGCCAGTGGCCTTTGTCTGGCAAACACCCGCGCCCTCTTCTGTTCACTTCATCTTCATCATTTCATCATGATGATAGGAATAATACCAGACATTGTAACTACATTAAGAATGGTAATGATGTATAATTGAAATATGAACACAACATAAACAACAAATAAAATATCATTTAATATCAATAGACATCAACAATAGTAACCATAATCAAGAACTACCAATCAATATGAACAAAACAAATCGACAATAAACAAGAGTATTCCAAGATGATCTCCCATCCCCGACATCGCCAGGCGGCATTTGCCTCCCGACATCGCACGGCCAGGCCCAAACCGCTGGCCCGGAACTGGAGCCGAAAGCTCCGCTGCAGCTCCAAACTCAGCTCCGAGGCACTGAAACCGGTCCTGAAGCCGAGGCCCTTGGGGCAAATATGATGTCCAGCAGAAAATATGGAACATACACACACATAATATATATTTTATATGTATTGTATACTGTGTACATATATATACATATTTATATATTATATATATATATTATATATATATATTATATATATATTATATATTATATATATATACACGGCTATATGTATTTATATGTAAAAAAGGTTTGGAAATGTAAAATTGTTATCAACGTATCATGAGTGGGGGTTGCATTATATCACTCACTTTTTTATCTTTAGGGGGGCCCGACAACATCCTATAATCACGGGAATCCGTGCGCACATGTGGACAGTATCATCAAATCAATATACATAGATTTAAACCATTTCACCTAATGACGAAGTCTTCCTCGTTGGCACGATTTGGTATGATTATGATTAATTAATTATGGACATTGGTTCTCCCATGCCTCTTCAACATTTCTTGTGGGATGGCAGCAGACATGGTCTCACGAAAACTTGCGAACAAGGGGCAACATCAGCGGTAAAGGCAGCACTGCCAGTTTTGAAATCATGCTGTGCGACCTTGATATCCAGCCGAGTCTCTTGGGAACTGTGAGGGCTCCAAAATATGGGTACTTTGTCCACAGATGAACCCCCCAACATGGGAATCTTCATGGGTGAAGGATGGTAAAAGGACAATTCAAATCATTAGATTTTTAGCAGCCTATTTTCGACAAACAATAAATAAACCATGCGATAAACCATGCGTGTATATGTATATATATGTATTTTTTTTGTGATCAACAGTGTGTGTATGTGTGTGTCACATATATGTCACCTGTTGGACATCTTTCCAGCAAATCACTGCCTACAGGCTGTCTACAGGTGATTTCTCCCTGAAGAACTGGAAGTCACCATAGCGCCAAACCATACCAAACCAACCAGAGTGCTCTGATGACACCCTACCAACTACCACTATATCTACCACTCCCAAAAGTCAGAAAGTCATACAGCCTGAAATACTCTTGCATCTCTGATCTTTTGACAGGGATCTTGCCCATCAATCTTGCTGTTCATTGTCATATCTAAACAATTATCGCAGGAAGTTTGGAAGTCAAACTTCCGACAATATGGACAGATGGAAAAGCAGAGGTGGGAAGAATCAGGGAGAAGAGTGGAAGAGAGAAGATCCGAGAATAGAAAGAGTGAGAAGAAAGAAGATGCAGGCGCGCGAAAAGGTAGCAACGTCGCGAAACACTATGTTTTTCCAATGACTTGTGGCTCCAAAGGGTCGAAAAGTAGGCTCGCTAAAGCGGCGGGTGCGGAGCCATGTGGCCAGATGAGAGATGAAAATTGCACGCCATTGTGGCGCGAAGCACGTTTCCAAGTCAAACTGTCAGGGTCGGACCAATTGTGGAAGTTGAGATATCGAAAATGTGCACGCCGTTGTGGCGCGAAGCACATTTCCAAGTCAAAATGTATAAAACACACCAGAGTCGGAGCACTTTTGGAAGTTGTGATGTCGAAAAAGTGGGCGCCGCTGTGGCGCAAAGCACATTTCCAAGTCAAAATGTACAAAGCACACCATGCTCGGAGCACTTTTGGAACTTGAGATGTTGAAAATGTGAACGCAGTTGTGGCGCGAAGCACGTTTCGAAGTCAAGAGTGTTAAAAACTGACGGGTTCGGAGCACTTTTGGACGCTCAGATGTGGTTTCGCGTGGCAGGCGCAGGGGATTGTGCACCTTGTCAAAAGTGAGCAAAACGTGAAGGTTTTCTAGCATTTCCAAAAACGATGGCAGGCGTGGGGCAGTTGAAGAGGATCTGGAAAGATGCATTGTCCGTGGCAGGCGCAGTACAAGAGACATGTTCATCAGAGATGTTAGGAGGTGAGGGCGCTGATTTCCTGAGAGGGGTTGCATTTTGGAGCATCAGATCTTCAGGTTTGCTGAGATGATTTTGCGTGACAGGTGCAGCACTTCGTATGACCTGCTGGCATCGCTTTTTCGTGGCAGGCGCGATACTTCAGAGACATGGGCTGGTACGAGGCCGTCAGCTCTGCATTCAACTTTCCATTATTGAAGGAAGTCTCGCAGAATTGCTTCGCAAAAATTGAGGAAGTCTCGCAGACTTGCTTGTTGCCAACTTCAAAAATTGAGAAAGTCTCGCAGAATTGCTTCCTTTTTGATGTTACCAAATTCAAAAGTTGGGGAAGTCTCGCAGAATTGCTTCGTTTTCAAGCTTGCAGGTGTCAGATAGACAGATAGATAGATAGATAGATAGATAGATAGACAACTACAACTACAGCTACGCCACTCTACTACTACAGACTAACTACGCCACATGACACTGTCACTACACTATTCTAATATATTCTCATTGCATCTTATTACACTACAGTACAGCTACAACTGCAACAACTACTACTACCACAGCTACAACAATGTCAACTACACCACATTACACTACACTGCACTAATTACACTGCAGCACACTACAACTACAAACGCACATGCAACTACAACTACACTACATTACGCAACTCTACACTGCACTACACGAATTACATTGCATTACGCTACAACTACAACTGCAGCTGCACCTACAATTGTAACTACCACTACATTGCACTACGCGACACTACACTAATTACACCACACTACGGCTACAACTGCGCTACCTTACGCTACACTAGGCTACACTACACTAATTACACCACACCACAGCTACAACCACAACTGCAACTACACTACACATTACAACTACAACTCCACTACACCACACTACAACTACAACTACAACTGCACTACAACACGCTACATCCAGCAGTTGTGGGTGAGGTGACCACTGCAACCATTGCAACCACTCCAAAAACACAACTTCAACCACCTTTTGGTCCATCAGTGTGGGTTCGCTCTGCCATCCGTGATTCACAACAACCAACCTCTCCTATTGGTTTCCTATTTTTGAAACTTCCGCCACCGCCTTGTGCGATACTACTGGTAAACATATAATCAATCTTATTCAATGCGAGCCGGACAGCTCCTGATGCAATCCAGGCACTGAAGATTTGCATTAATAATGCCTGAGCACAGGTTGAAGTTGGTTGAAGACTGAAAGGGCTGAAATGACTGAACAAACACTGGGTTGATGTTGACGTGCACGGAAAGCATCTTGCATGACCAACATCTCACGCTCTGTTGCGTCAATGGTGCTCTTCAGCACCTCCACCCATTGAACCCCCCGTCACATCCCTGGAATTCTTTGGAATTGTCAGGTACCAGATCTATCCCATGGGGAGTCGTCAGGGCACATCTTACACAGTTTCCAGTTTAAACACCACCCTCCTGAGCCGAGGATCAAAAACGAATGGATCCCGGAGCTATGGCGACTGCCACTCGTGCAGGCCCCATGCCCAAGTATCCTGGGAAGTACTCATGCAGCTGGAAAGCGACATCGGGTTGCATTGCACCGGGCCCTTAAACTCTGGACGCCCTCTTGAGTCAACTAAACTGCAAAAATGAAGAAACACTCCAAATCACAAGCATGAGTTGCCAGGAGTGATGTTGAAGGCATCCTATTTCGCACATGTTCTCCGGGTCCACCATCAGCTCAAGTGTATAATCTAATAATCAAGCGATGATGCTTCGGGAGGTTATAATAGGCACAAGGCACTCTGCAAGCCGTGGCTTGCTAGCGCCAGCAATTCGAGAATCAACGCAGCGATTGCCAAAAGCAATGAAATCCTGCGGCATGTGCAAGCGCGACGGTTTCATCATTATCAAGTTAGAGGAACCTGTGTGAGAGAGGCATCATCCCCCGCAGTCGTGTATAGCTGGTAAATCGAAAAAGCCGATGCAATCCCAAACAAATAACAACATTAGGTCACATTCCCATTTCAGACTATATAGTGAAATCCCGTTCACAGCAAAACGTCGTTCAAAACATCAATTAAACACAATTTGCTGCTGGTAAACCTGCCATTTCCATCCGTTTTTTCTGTGGAAAACATCGCCCATTGGGCATAGCTGCCCAAAGCGCACCAGAAGCATCGCGCCAGCATAAGCGCAAAGGCCAGGGCGCTCAAGGCGCCTGGAGAATGGTCCAGCGTTGGATTTCAGAACATGTCTGTTGTATTCTTGAAGAGGGCTTGGACTAATATGGATGATGTTTTCAATTATGTTGCTTTAACAATATTTAGATGAAGGGAATGGGGCTGATGATTTATATATCTGTATATATTTGTCAAGTTTATTCAAGGATACAATGGAATTTGTGGTGGGGTTGGGCATCCTCCTGCTGCAAGCGGTGGACAATTTCTGGGTGGTGATCGTTGGCAAGAGTCCTGTATCCTTGTACTATTCAAGAGTGATGTGCTTTGATGTTGTGATAATGCAGTAAGGTCGCTACTGTTACATTTGGGATACAGATACCCAAAGGTATACCAGCTTTTAGGCTTTGTTATGCATACGCAATCCAGATCTTGCAGGACTCGTAGGCTGCCCGGTCAGGTTGAAATCGTTTGAAGCCAATTTTCTTAAATGCGTGCCAAATGGGTCCGAGGCATGCAACAATGGCATGGTATGGCATGGTCTACCATGTTTTACATCCACGAAAATCACCAGAATGAGTCGCCCGATGGGTACAGCCAAGGCCTGCCATCCATTGCTCGATGGGTACAGGCTCGCCCCGCCATGACGTCGGCCTCGGAGCAGCTGAATCTGGGAAGTTGGATGCCACAATGGTCTGAATGGTCTAGTGCCTTTCAGGTCTGAGAGGGCCACTATGGATCAAAACCCTGGAAACCTGGTTTTCAAACAAAAATAGTTTGTGCACATTGATGTTCATCACCCCAATATGGTATATGTGGTATATCAATGTATATCATGGCATCGTCGTGCTTGACCCACCCATATAACAGCACATCATTAAGTGATACAGGGCCCGAAAGGGGGCGCTTTGGACTGATGATAAGGTCCGGTCCGGTGTCGCGCAACTGAGTTTCCAACTGGCTCTCATCCATTGCGGGTTGACTTAAACGACCTCCCAGCAACTTTTTGCGGCGAAACAATTCTCTCATGGGGGGGAACATGAATTCACCAACCTTAGATCCAATTCTCGTACAATTTGTGCGGAAACTACAGCAAGAGATTGACAATTCATCTTCCAATCTCCTGCATCCGCAACTGCTGACCCCACACAATACCATCCCCATGGCACAATCAGAACACCTCAAGTCAGAGGCAAACATGGGCAACAGGTGCCATATTGGCCTCTAGCCTAAGGAGATCCTGTTCAGCAAAAGGCTCAAGGCGAAGCGTAATTAGCCATGCGTAGCTTGATCAATGGGATCACAGCATGCATGGGGCAGCCACATCAACAAAACATCGGTATAAGTGTGGGCAATTAGATGCAATTATGTAGTCAGGTTCAAAGCGAGGAGATACTTAGACGTCTTTCTGCTAAAGAGAAGTCTCGAAGCCTTTCCTACTCGCAAAGCTAAGGACTCCATCATCAGGGCAGGTTCGGTGTGGTCGTAGCAAGGTCGGCCATTTTTTTGCACATCTGATGTCACCATGTTTCTCATCCTGGCTTCCCTGGGTTGATTTATTCTATCATTTTTGGCAATACCCGTTCAAAGCCAATCAATAAACATAGATATATACAAATGCGCGAGCACACACACACAAATGTGCATATATATATATAATATATATATCTATCTATCCTGTGATTACATCTATTTCATACAGCTATATAAAATTATATTCAATACATTACAGACTTATATGGAATACAATGGAATATGTATGTATGTATATCTGTCTGTCGGTCGGTCTGTCTGTCTGTCTGCATACATGCATGCATGCATGTATGTAATCATCTTATGTAAGATATGCACGTATGTATTTATCTGTTGGGATTGATTAGCACAACTCCTGGGACAGGCAAGCCATTCCTGAGAAAAAATGGATGGCTTCGGCACGTGGTCCAAAGCCTCCTGAACCTGCTGGCTGAGCAGGTTGTGTGATACAGAGGTGAAACTGGACCACCATGGGGAGGAGGCACCAAGCCTAGTTTGCCAGAAGCAGCACTTGCAATCAGAACTTCTCTAGGTTCCAAGGGCCAAGGCCCAGTCATCGTATGGTATCTGATGCCACCCTGAATGAAAAACGTCAGTTGAACTCTCACTTGGAGGGTTTCATATATTTAACATGCTGGTTGACTGCTCCTTTTTGTCAGGCCACTATCGTCATGGCCGTTGCAGTTCGGATGTCGAAATAGGTTGATGGTTATCCCCCTTTCCCCCTTTGGGCCATGAAAACCGGGCAACGCACGCTCCGCGTGGCCTTCACTGCAGCAAGGGGTGCCCATGTGAGGGATACTGATGGATACAATAATGTGGTAAGCCATGGTAAGCCCAATAACAAACCAACCAATTTATTTATTGTCAAGTCATGTTGAGGATTAATTGGGCCTACCACATCGCTGAGCTGATACTGTATGCACTGCTGGATTGTTACCTTTCAAAATTTGAAGACTCAAAGGTCCTTGCAATTGGGTCAGTTTCACTGTGAAATAAACCGGTACAGTATGGTCTGTAACAGTTCCGAATTTTAATTCACTCGCATACTTTTGGCTTTTGGCTGATGTCTTGGTTTCCCATCAACATTTACCTCTTTTTTCCGGCAGTGACTCTAATTCTCTGACATGAACATCTAATAGAAGGTCGGGCGAGAACTTCAAACATCTTCAACCCCCTTTCAGCCGCGAGCGACCGCGCGCAAATCGCAATTCAGTCAGCTCGTTTTTTTCCAAGCTGGCTATGCTGTTCTCCTGGCGCTTGGAGAAAAAAACACCTGGAAGATCCTGGAAGACTGAGCCCAAACATCCCATTATGCCCAAACAACATATTTCACTACATCTAAGATCATTTATGCATCTCTAGGTTTGGCTTCTCAATTGTCAATGGGCACGAACGCAACCCAGCAAAAACTCCAAGTGGACATGACAAGACCTGTGCCTTGGCAAATACAGCAAGGCCAAGTCGCTGACTCGCATCTGAGAAGTGAACAGAATCCCAGTCCCAGGTCCCCAGTGCACCTGGGGGTTTCTGCCGAGCTCTCCTGATATGGTTGTAATGGGATGCAAATGGGCTGTTGGGAAGACTGGCTCATGGGAGTTACAGGTCATAGCCTGTAATCCGTGAGCCTTCAAGCCAGCCAAAGATGGGACAGCGAATGTCTGCGGAGTGAAACAGCAACTTCAAGCAAAAGAAAAACGTTTCTTGAGTTCTTTGCCTCGGCCCCACATTCGCGGCCAAGGGTCCATTCGCATTTGCTTCATCTTCTTCAACTCCAGCTGCTTTTCCTGCCGCGCCTGCGGCAAAAATGCAGACTTTCCCAATCACATAGAGCACCCCCATCTTTTATCCTTCGAGCCTGGAGGATCTGCAAGGTCCTGCGGGCAAAACAGACTGCTTGAATATGAAATGACTTCTACGCGGGCTCAGGATGCTCAGGCTAGCGGACGGAACATGCCCTGGCTCCACAAGTCCTAGCGTTGCTTTTCTCCACGTCTCGCAGCGCTTTCAGCTGCTTCTCGTTCTCCAACAGCTGCCTGGAGATGCACTTGGAGAAAGAGAGGGAGGGAGAGAGAGAGAAAGATATATATATATATATATATACACTATCATATTTATAATTATGATTATATAATCATGTAATTTGCTGTATTTGTATTAATTTGTGGTGCATTTTACACCAATCCCCCAAGCAATTTCTCGCCACATCGGTTTCCTGTTTGATTCTTTGATTCCTAGAGGTGAAAGATGGCGAGGTTGGCTGGGGCCCTTTCTCACCTGTCATGACCTTTCACTGCTATTGCTATGCAACAAAACCACCTAAGATCACCTAAGTATACAGTATAAACCTTAGTAATATTAATATTAAATAATATTAATATCATTTTGTCTATACACTATCGGTTTCCAATTTCAAAACACAGTCCTGAATCTTCTGGAAGCACCAATCTGAATTCACGTGGGCATCTGAGTAGCAACCCAGCAGCGCACTGCACGCCCTCATTTTTTGGCGCTTTAAACACAGACTTCCGCAGATTCCAGCTTCAAATGTTGATCGAAGCCTTCTGGGTCATATCTCGGAAAAAGTGATGGGAGAAATTGCAGCTCACACCAAAGTCTCATTGCAACCTCTAAGGTGTGCGAATTTCAGAAAATTGTATTGGAAACGTCTAGCCCCCCTGCGCGTTCCATGTTGAGAGGTCAAAATGTCTCAATTGGCCTCGCAACAGTTGTTTTCGGCAGGCCTTTCTGTGGGCAAAGGCCCCTCATATGTGGCTCAGTGCTCAGTTTTGCTCAGTGAATCTGGTTCTCATATGTTCTCATCAAGTTCTCAATTTACTCAATCACATCTCTTGGGCATGGAGCGATTCCAGGTGATCTCATCGGGGTTCACCACATGAACGCCATCCTTCGATGTGTCCAAGGGAGATCCGAACCCCCCAAAAGAAGGGCAAGAATCACACACCTTCCTAGAGATTCTCAGAGGTATGGTAAAATCATTTCAAACATGTCACCTAAATCATTCCTTCCCACTATGATGAACCGCACCCGCACAAACCCTGGTGGTTTAGCAGTGAATCTCCCTATCCATAGGGGTCCCCGAAGAAACGGGAGTGGTTGCCATGATTTGCCAGTGGAACGGCTGTTAAAATCCAACGCATGTAATTAAATCATATTAAATCCCTTACCCTCTGGCAAACTAACATAGCTATGGAAAATCACCATTTTTAATGGATAAATCCACTATAAATGGTCATTTTCAATAGCTATGTTAGTTTACCAAAGGGTAATCTTCCATACCCATACTCATGATGTACCATATAATGAATGATTTTAAGTGCACTCCAGCACTTGCGGAAGCGGCTCTTTTGCGGGTGGCTCAGGGATCCCTATCGATCCGATTTGAGTGAAAAAGAATATGGCAGGTACACTTCTCGATTTGTGCACCTCAGCTGTGACATGACTCTCTGTGCAAAGCTTGCGTATGCGGAACATCCCTCTGCGCGGTTGCAATTCAAACTCCACTGCTGCTTTGGGTTCTGTCGCAGAACTTGCAGATTCTCTTCCTGTCTAGTGTTTTGGCTTGGTTGGTGCCATTGCAATTCGGATTGGTGTGGTATGTGTCGCCTTTCTCGGTGATCCAAATTTCTGGTGGTGTCTTGATGATCTTTCGCTGTCTGGTGATCACTTCATCGTCTAGATTCAATCTTCGGCTAGTTGGTCTACATTCAGAACTAGAAAGCCTCTCAGAAGACAAACTTTTGGACGTGGACTTAGATGATGATCTAGACACACTTGGGGACATAGCGCTCTGATTGGATGTAGGGAAAATGGACCATAGGACCTTCCAAAAGCAAAACTCTACCAATCGAAAGATGGTATAGAACATGATGAACATGTAAAACAGGTCATAGCCAGATGATTCTTCTGCCGCACCTGTGAAACTCTCATGAGCTTCTACGCACGTGGGCAACATGGTGGAAAATGCGATCATGGCTGCTAAATGTTTGGCGCGCAAACCTAAACATGTCATCAAAGCAATGCCTTTCATTGTCGTGGTCTTTCTTCCTTCGCGAGCTTCTCTCCAAATGGTTTCGTCATCCTTGGTCAAATCCTCTTCGTGCAATTCTTCAAGAATCGGAAGACGGCGAAGCAGAGTTGAATGCTTCGGCATGTTTCCAAGTTCAACAAAACCTGTGCTGAGAAATTGCATCAACTTTGGTGCAGTCATGGTCTTTGTAAGGCCATCAGCAAGCATGTACTCTGTGGGTGTGAGCATCAAGTATCGTAGTCGGCCAGTGGCCCTGGCTTCCTTGATAGCAAGAACATACAATCGCTGAAGTTTGTCTTGCGGCACAGCTCTAGCTCCAGTACATAGCTCAAAAAAATCTCTGCAATCTGTCGCGGCATCTACAGGAAACAGTCGCGATCCATGTTCCTGATATGCTGTCAGAGTCTGCAGCGATGGGTTGACCACTGGTATCCACAACTCAGTAAGTCTGACTGACACCATGCTTCCAGCTTCAAGACCCCCAATGGCTGAAAGAGTCTCGGCATGTGAAGTGCTGTAGGACACTCGTTTCGCCTTGCCGCCATGAGCAAAGAGAAGGTGCCCATAGTTGCACAATTTCTGGACATCTGAAGACGAGCAAGTGATGTCATCTTGTCGAAGAATCTCGTCATCCAATTCTGGCATCAGAACAACTAAAAGTCCCTCTTGAGCGTAACTCCGGTCTTTGGTTGCTGAACTGGCATCATGAATGCATTGGATCCGAAACTTGGTGTCCTTGTCAAAGAAACGATAATGAAGACCTAGCCCAACTTTGTCTGGTGAACAAGCTTTTTTGACCAACTGGTTCGCTTGGCGTAAGTGTTTGACTTTGGACTTCATGATCACTGATTGCAAAGTTCCTACTTCTGCAATGATGTCAAGTCGAGTGCTGCATAACCAAAACAGTCCACCTAACACTGAACGAAACTGTGTAAGCTCAGATGGTGTGAGGTCTCTATCATCCTCACCAGGTGGATTGTCGGAAGGTTTCAAACGTGCAGCAAATGTAGATTGGTCGATCTTGAAACCAGTATTCGTACGACTGTACTGACATCCGCAATGCATGAAAGGAAGCTGATCTCTAGAAATCTGACCAAATTCTGCACACATGGCCTTGTAGAGTTGGTTCTTGAAAGGCTTTGTTCCAACAATGGCAAGATCATCAACATGTGTGGTCAAAGTTCCCAAAAGAGGCGGTGTGCATTTGGGATCTTTCCAACAGTAGAAGCTGTCATCAAGCTTACTGTGATGGCCGGACTGCTTCTGCAGGAACTGGCCCAAACTCAACTGCCATGCAACTGGTGCATCGTTCAAGCCATAGATCGGTTTCAGACACCACAAACCGTACAATGGAATTTCCCATGGCTCCACATGAAACTGTTGATCAACCGTAGCCAAGTGGCGCCAAGTGTTCCAGGGTGGAACCAGGACAACTGCACGAACTGGTGTTTTAACGCCTTGCTTGAGCAAGATCTCACGAATCCGATCAAATGTGAGGCCTTTAAGAAAAGCTCCAGATACATCCCATGATTCAGGATCTTCGCGCATGACAGCTGCTGTTGAAACCAAAAGACGCTGCGAAAGTCGAGATGCCGTGGTGGATCTCGTGGCCAGTAGATCCTTCTGAGGATCAAAACAGCCCCTGGCACACATGCGGGACTTGATGATTCTCTTGCCACTCTTGAGCTTCCAACGTCGGACCCATGTGCCATCAATGATGACCGTGCCCTCTGGAACGTCTCTCAAAAGGATTTTCTGAAAAGCTTTCTCGTGAACAAACTGCGCTATCTCCTTTGCATCTGCTTCTTCTACCTGAGGCCAAATGTCTGGGAGATCTTTCTCAGCTATGTTGTCCTCTGCAGTCATGGAAACAAAACAGCCTTTCATCAGGTCAACGTAAAAGCTTCTTTGTTTCGATGAATATTGATGGACAAGTGGCTGACATAGTCGCTCACAAACTTGCTCATGCCGAACCTTGAAATGATTGATTGCCATGTCAAAAGTCATATGAGAGAACCATCTTGGAACTTCATAGCACTGAGACCAAAAATCTTGCATGTACAGGCGTCGATGCCGTTGGCGATCCAAAAGCCAATGCAGTGTGTGGGCATTCTGACACTCTGTGGTGATCGTGGTGTAGTTGCCCTCAATCTTGGTTTTCTTGGCCGATGGTGATGTTGAACGAGAATGAACAGGTGGCTCGTGTCTCTTGAGCGGAAGTATTGAGTCCACTTCCATCTCATCGACTGCTGGATCTGCTGGAACTTCTGGAACAACTGCTGCAGGTCTTGGAAGATCGGGGTCCATGCTGAGTTCCTTCACCTTGATTGATGGCCCACTGGATATGGAACTCTCTTCTGAAGCGATTGGGTAGTAGTAGAGGTAGAGGACGCACAACGATTCCCAATGTGCTTCATGAACCTCCTTCAGCTTCATCTGCTGGTCGCTCTCTTTGAAAGTTCTCGTAAAGTCAGTGGTGCCTTTCTGCCAAGTGAAAAGAGTTCCCCGTGTACGCTGAAAGGGTGTGATAGCCCGAAGAGCTTGACCATGAAGAATGCCATGAATGGGATGCTCAGTCCATGAAGCCCATGCAGGAAATTCTTGGAGTAGTTCTGCCTGCTCTTCGTCAGGATGACCAGGAATGGATTTCCATTGGAATCCAGCGTGGGTCAAGATCTGCTTGTATCCAAGAACTTGCTGTTTGTAGGGCTGCATGGCTTCAGTCATCCGCATCAACTTGTAAAGACCAGTGCCGACCTGAGTGTCAATATTGTAGAAAATGCCCTGCGATGGCCTGATGAACCTGAGGGATACCAGGTATGGCTTGCCCTGGTACTTGATGATGGCAGTGCCCTCGGACTGGTCAACCTCAAGCAAAACTGCTGGCCCTCTCCATGTTCCATCTCGATGAAGATCCACAGTAGTGGTGCCTGGCACAAGCTGTGACAGGTCCAATTGATGTGGCCTGGTATGGCTGGCTCTTGCCAAACGATCTTCTTGGATGGCCTGTTGAACTGCATTGAGAGCAATCTGCCGCAGTCTCATGGCCGTCTCAAAAACGGTCAGGTCACGGTCAGCTGCTCCGTTGACTGCAGTCAGATTGGCCGTCTCAAACTCATAGAATGATCTCGGAATGACGCCAAACACAGCCATGCTTGGAGAATATCCTCCATAGATGAGACACAAATTGTGGCTCATTCCAGCCTCTGCAGCTATGTCGGAGTCTTCAATCACTAGACATTGGCGATCACATTCGGCTTTCATCTTCTGCATTGTTAATTTGATGAGGCCAACGTGGCGCTCGACAACGCCAGTTCCAGTATGTTGTTTTCCAGCCTCTCCTGAAGTGGTTCCCTTGGGGTTCCTGGTGATGCCAAGCCGTTCGAACTCCACACCTGCTGCTGGTGACATAAGACTGCTTTCTTGGTCTGTCGTGAGAACTCTCATTGGCCCAAAGTAGCGTATCCAGTGATGCAGAAGACCTTTGAGAAGATCTGACATTTCTCGACTAGGAACTTCATATGCCACCTTATATCTTGTAGCAACATCAATCAAAAGGCAAAAGGTTTTGGACCAAAGGTGGTAGATGTCGGTCTCCACCTCATCACCGAAATGAGCAGCCAAGCTTACTTTGGTCTTTGGCCGAGCAGGCAGTCTGGAGTATCGTCGGCAGATCTGACAAGAAGCAACTGCCGCATGAGCCATCTCAACAACCTTTGGAGGCATTCCTGCCCTCAAGAGCAGATTGGCAAAATCAACAGCATTGGCGTGCCACATCTTCTCATGCAAACCCAACAAAAGACGCCGAGCCATCACAGTGTCTTTCTCAATTTCTTGAGGAAGCCGTTGTAGGACTCGCTTGACACTGTAGAGAGGCTTCATGGCTCGAACAGCAATAGGTTGGGTATCAACTCCATCATATGGCACAACTGCTGTGGACGCTTCGCTATTCTGGCCTCCTGAAGGTGCAGGTGTGCCCGGCGCTGGTGTTGAGGGTGCCGGTGTGGATGCGGATGGCTGTGCTGTCTCTGCTGGATCTGATTCTTGAGGAGGAGCAGGAATGTCATGATGACCAAAAATGGTGATCATCCAGTCCTCTTCATCAATGGCTTCTCGCTGTTGTGCTGGCGAAAGTTCTCGAAGATCTTCCATGGAGCAGAGCTGCCAAGATTCATAAACGCCTCTGCAAATGATTCGCAGTGGTGCTTGTTCTGCTGAAAGATGTGGTTCTGGAAAGGCTTTCGTAAATGGATGCAAAGCAACTTGTACTCCGTGAACATGAAGAATCTTGCGAAACAAATGTCTTGAAGCCATGAGAAGAGTTGGATCAGTCACCCAATATACATACGTCTGTTTCTTGATCATCTCGTCAAGAATTGCAATGCTGTCTTTGACCAATTGACAGAAAAGGTACTTGAGGTACACTGCTTCCTCAGGAGTGAACCCGTACTGCTCTGGAATCTTGATGGTGATGTCTTTGGCCAAAGCATGCTCCCTGGCTGACTTTTGAAAATCAAGCATGGGATTTGAAGCTTGAGATTCGAGCTTCTTCTTGGCAACCCGCCTGGCTTTGTCTGGATCTCTTCCATATCGACACTCACCAGGCATGAAGGTGTGTTCCATGTGAGGCAAAGCTCCTCGGCCAAATTGGCAACGCTCGCAGGTGTACATGACCTCTGCTCGTTGTGCAGCATCAAGGCATTTGGGTCTGAAGGAGCCACGCGGGTAGAGGTTGTAAAGCATGTCCTCGATGATTGCTTTGCAAAACCTCACAGGATAGACAGCTGCCATTGCTGTCCTGTTGACTCCTTTGTGTTGTCCTTGAAGAGGTACATGGGGAACACCTCGATGGCCGTTGCACCTTCGAAGAGTTGAACGAAGTTTGCAGTTGGCTTCTATGCCGGTGGCCTTGAGGATGGGCTGCCGGTGTTCATCGCATGCTCCAAAAGCACATTGATCTGTTCTCTTGGCTTTGCGGTATCCTGGCATGTTCTGGTTCTCCGCCATCACACTGTCACTCCATATGGCTGAGCTCCAGGGGTTTTCCAGGACATATACTTTGCGTCGTTGGTTCTGCTGTTGTATCTTTCGCTGCATGTAAACAAGAGCTGGCCTTTCTGATTCTCGATCTCGCATGAGTTCTTGACGATCTCGACGAGATGCTGAGACACTCCAGAACTTGCATCGGGGTGAGCACATGAGGAAATCAGGGCAGAATTCCTCATAAGCTTGATCAAGCATTCTCTGGTGTTCTGGAAGTCCAATGTCCCAACCATAGCGAAAATCAACTGGAAAACCCATGGTCAAACCAGCAAGCACACAAAAGAGGCTGAAGCGACCAGACCCACTACAAAGTTCCCAGCCATGCCACTTGGTCTTCTTGGAGCGAGCTTCTTGGAACCACTGATCAAAAAACGATGGTGTAACCACTCGCCTGCCAGTCTTGGTGTAGAACTCCTCTGGCATGGCATTGTAGTCCTTCTTGAGTCGCCGAATCTCATCATCAGAGAGATGATCTGGAAGCTCATCTGATGTGTACATGGGAATGTGAGAAAGGTTGGTCGCAAAAACGCCTTCAACAGGTTCCTCTTCATGAACTGTCTTACTGGCTGATTGGGACTGCTCAGCAAACCTCACAGTCTTTTCTTTGGTGTTCAGCGCCTTGACACTGTCAACCGTGAGCATCTCTGCAGTGGATCTAGGAGTTGCCACAGGATGCTCATCGGAACTCCACTTCTGCTTCGGGTCTGCCGCTGTCTCAGTCGCTGAGCTCCAAAAACTGAAAAGGTGATCTGGCCATTGATCATTGGAAATGGTGGACAGGTGACGAAGGAACTTCTTGGTATCATGATGTTGCTGTGGTTCATGAATCTCAGCATGATCATCCAGTGGTAGTAGATAATGCCCAGAATCTGTCAGCAAACATCTGAAAAGGTGCATGCTAGGCTCCTTCTTTTCCGTGTTCCATGTCACCAAAAGTCCATCATTGTTTTCAAACCAGCATGAATGAAGTGAAGCCTTCATGGCGCATAATGCTGGGTTTCCGACAAGTGCCGGACAAAGTGAGCCTTCCTTGCCAATCACATCTGCAGTGTATGTGGCATCCAGGCCTTGAAAAGGAAGTCGCAGGTGAACTCGTCCAAGTGCCTTGTCTGGGCATCCACTGATTCCAGTGATGGTGGCCTGCGACTCTGACCATGTCACCAGGGACCGCTTGTTGCCCTGATAGCAAACATCAAGAAGGTCTCGCAAAGTCTCGCTGCCAACCAAACCGGCGGCAGCTCCTGGGTCGATGAGCAGGCCTCGTCGTTTGTGGCCTTTCACCGTGTGGTAGCAAGAGGAGCTGGTGTGCAAATTGGTGACAAAGGCAAGTGAGCGCTTCGCTGAATCTTCATGATGTGCATGTTCATGAGTGTCATGTGAGGCGCCCTCTTCATCAGCCGAAGCTGACGGCCCTTTCCATGAGAAAAGTTCCCCAACTTGTCGGGGGGGACTGGGTCGAATGATGGGCTCTTGAGAAGACTTGGGGGTTGTGTGTGGTTCACCGCCAAGTCGAAGACCTTGATCAGGCTGGCGTCTCACACTCATGTAGTCATAGTATTCATCATAGTATCCTTTGAATGGGCGTTTGCCTTTTCCTTTGCCTTTTCCTTTCAGAAAAGGTCTCTTGCCTTTGCCCTTGCCACTCTTCCCACCAAAACCCTTCTTGCCTTTCCCAGGTCCTTTGCCTTTTCCTTTGCCAAACTGAGAACTACCTTGGCTGACAGGACATTGCGCAGCTCGATGCCACTTCGACCCACAGACAAAACAACCATCACCTCCTTGGTAATAGTCCTGGGACTGACTCTGTTGATCATTGGATTCTGAGGCGGCTGGTGGATCTCCTTGGGACATGTCATAGGTCTCGGCAGTGTTCTTCTCAGGACTCTGCCAGTCGGAAGATGCATCATACCACTCATCATGTGCCTGGGTCTCGTAGCCATACCAATCATAGTCATCGTAGTAGTCCCATGATCGAGACCACTCATCTGTCTCCCAGGAATCATAGTATGTTGATGCATCCCATTGAAACCATTCAGCCCAAGGATCAGCATAGTAGTCGTAGTGGTCATATTCAGGAACTTCAGCATACAAGTCATGAGACAAAGTTCCATGGTCACTGCGACTGCTGAGTCTAAGAGCCAAACGTCGTGCTTCAGCAAAACGGCTCATGTCTCCTTGGATCTGAAGCTTCACATCCTCGATGAACTTGGAAGGCAAACCTGACTGTTTGAAATACAGGTAAGTCTTGGCAACGTCGTTGATGTCCAGCCCTGCTCTCATCTGCGCTTCTTCGTAGCGAAGCTCCCATTCAGCTGTGAACTCCTGCAGTGAAAGCTTTCCACGTCTGAGCTCGAAGAAGGCCTCAAGGGCTGAAGTGGTCAGCTCCTGATCTGACTGACCAAAAGCTTCCTTCAACGCGTTTGCCAAAGCAGTCACTCCACTCGGGATGTAATTCTGGAGGATGACCTGTGGGTTGTTTGGATCTCTCACTTCATCCACCGTCAAACGAACCAATGCTGAATCTCCAAAGTCATATTGGCCATCAGGCCGGATGAGGCGCAAGTTGAGAGCAATCTTTTGCGCTCTTCCTTGTAAACGGCCTGCAATCAGAGGCCCTACGGCCTCGTCTGGGCCTTCATAGACCCGATACCAAAGCTTCAACTTGTCAAAGAAGAGTTTCAGTGGATAATCCGGCAGGCCTGGTGACCAGCCGGGTGGGCAGTCCTTTCTGTACTCTGTCAGAGGGATGCCTGATGTTCCAGTTGCAGAACTTGCCATCAATGATTTGACCTGAGAGAAGAACCTCGCAAACTCAAAGTTTGAGAAGGGGCCGTGGAGGCCGGCAAGGGGTTCCTTGGATTCAGGGACGTACAAAAATGCAGGGACGAACTCAAACACAGCAATGTCGTGGACCACAAAAATGTCAATGGGCACAGGAGTCTCAATGGATCCAAGGGTGTGCTTATAGACAATGGTGCAGTGATCACTGAAATTGCAAGAGCTATGTGTCTCCTGGATCGTGCAACTGGGGGCTCCTGGAGTCAAATCTTGGTCTAGCGGGTTTTCGCCGGACCACTGTGCTGCTGGGTGAAAAAGGGTGAAAGCCACGCAAAGTGTGTGAAGACAGATGCCAGAGATCAAGAAAGCCGTGGTGATCGATGGTCTTACCTCAGTCTTGGACGTAGAGCTCGAGGTCAAGTCGAGCGGCCTATCAGAGGCCAGAGCAGCCTATGGCTTTGAGCTGGAGCCCCAGATTGACCGAGGCCCCGCTACCAAACTTGCGGAAGCGGCTCTTTTGCGGGTGGCTCAGGGATCCCTATCGATCCGATTTGAGTGAAAAAGAATATGGCAGGTACACTTCTCGATTTGTGCACCTCAGCTGTGACATGACTCTCTGTGCAAAGCTTGCGTATGCGGAACATCCCTCTGTGCGGTTGCAATTCAAACTCCAGCAAACTGCGACGCCCTGCTCCCGGCGTAGCCCATGATTTTGCCTAGCCGAAAGGATGAATACCCACATCTGCCATCATCCAATGAATTCGCCTTTAAGTTGGCATTGAAACATACTAAAATTGACATGCATTACAGTAATGCTCATCATAGATCATCATCCCATATCATCCAAGCCAAGCAATCATATATCATATCATAAAATATCATACCACAGCCAAGCATCCACTGCAGCAATCTGACACATGCCATCACTGGGCGGCAACAGCTCCACGAGCTCATCCTCATCACATCCAGGTCGACGCCAGAGAATCCTGGCAGGACATAGTTTCCAAACATCCACCGTGACAAGTGACTCAAAGACTCGACCTTGGTACTAAGTGACAAGTGATGAACAAATGAGAACAAGTATATCAATAATATATATATACAATATCATTATGTATATATATATATATAACTATATCATTATGTAATATATATATATATATAAATGTATACATGTGTATATCTATCTATCTAATCTAATCTAATCTAATCTAATTTAATCTATCTATCTATATATATATATATATATCATATATCTCTCTCAATGGTTCTTGGACAACTTTCAAGGTGCCTCCGGCCTGTAATGTCTGAAGTGAGCATCAACGTCTCTCACGGCACCACATTCATCTATGGGACACAGGCTGGACCATCGAACCCGGTAGACCTTCTTGGGCAGTGGAGGTAAGCCGCCAACCTTGGTGCTGGCGTTGGCTGGCGTACCGTGCAGGTTCCTCAAAAATGATCCTCATAAGTAAATGGGGAACATGGATGACAATGAAAAAGGTGGATTACCCAGCAAGCACAGAACATGGGGAAAAATAAAGAGTCAGAAGATTTCCTTCAGATCTTCAGATTTCAGCAAGTCAAAGCAACTAAGCAAAAGCGATGACTGCCCTGATGATCCGACTCGGGCGGAAGCAGCCTGAGATGGCGCAACTGCTTCGACAAAGATTTGCAGGAAGTGGGGTTGTGGAAGAAGATTGACAAGAATCTGTGTTTGCAGCAGCCAGCCGCGTCATACAAGATATACAAGGATATACAAGGCACATGATGGCACAAGTCGCAAGGCCATGTCATGCAGGGATTCTTGATGATAAATTGACTTGTGCCATCTGCAGTTCTGCAACCTCGTGCAAGCACATGGAGGCAACATCCCTTAAAGCGGCCGGGCCACACGACTGGCTGCATCTGAGGTTGATCCACCTCCTTCTCTTTCCGGACGTCTTGGAAACAATAGCAAACCTCAGTTGTGCTGGGGAGGCGCGGCCAACTCTCTGCAGGTTGAGGCACTGTTTTCAACGAAAGCCTGGCAGCGGCCAAGAGACGCTGCCCGGAAGCAAGGCCGTACCACGGACTGGCTCTGCAGTTTCTTTGGTGAAAAGGCTTCGAAGCTTTGCGAGAGCATCATCACTCCTCAGGAATGAAATTGGTGTTGTGAAACTTCATCCCCTGTCCGGGTCTGACACTTTAGCAATAATATCGTCCAACTCTTTGTCAAACTAGGCTGAAGAATGCTGAAGATGGGTACACACCGACACTGCAAAGAAATTCAGAAGATCGTGGTGCTGGTCCATGCTGGTCCTGTTGGTCAACCATCAAAGAAATTCATAGGGCAGGCTGGAAAGGGCTGACACTCCACAATGCAAAGCAAAGGGTAGGCATAGAATGGCAAAGAAACATAATTATGGAACTCCTCACTTGACATTGTGGTGAATCAACATTCCTAAGCCCACGGAACAGCTGATGTGGCACTATTGGAGACACCCTGTCCGGCTATGGTGAACTGAGCGCCCTCCCCATTTTAACAATAGTCAACCCGTGCAGTTATGGGAACTGACTGTACCATGAATGGACTACAAAATATGTGCAAGCTTGATTCTCCTGCAATATAATCAATATATGTAATGTAGGTCAAGATAATGAGATATGAAAAAGTTGCGATCCTTATACTGTACCCCAAAATCACTTGGGTCCCATGATGCTACATGTAAATATGGGTCAACCTTTAAGACGCAGGAGGCTGCTGATTTGAGTCTTTAATTACATAGCAAGTAATTTGTAAATTCGCAAACTGGGAAACCCAAAAAAGATGCCACAATATGCCATAAATAATCCTATACTATGTTACTATGCCATAGATATATATATATAGATATTCCATACATTTCCATACTAGTAACAGTGATATGCCGTTTGGCCAGCGTCGGAAATTTCCGCCGAGGCACAGCGCCTTGCCCAAGAGTTTTTCGATAAGGCTTTGGCCATCACTCAGTGGGGCCTCAGTGCCATTGGGTGTGGCTGGTCGGAAATGGTGCATCAAAAATGGCAGAAATGGATGCAGTGTGCAGGAATTCCGGAAGTACACGAATAGCTTTCCCAAAAACGGCCCTACACCGCCCTAGTCTGTCTTTTCGGTGGTTTCCATCTCTATCTCATTCCGTCCGGGTTGTGGAGGTCCCAGTGACGTCCAAAGTCATTCTGTCCAGGACTGGGCCGATGGACTTAGGTCAGATAGATAAGATAAGATAAGATAAGGTAAGGTAAGATAAGGTAAGATAAGATAAATAGCTATCTAGCATGGATAGATATCACATATCTGATATCTAGCAGGAGGACTGATAGATCCGGGTTGCCCCGGAAAGAAGCGCACAATCCTTTGAGTAGGATGTGAGAAACACATTAATTATATTATATAATATAATCCTTCATCTGGGCAAATTAGAGTAATACGGGAAACCCAAAAGTAAACAATCCCCAATATTACTATAAATGGGAAGCAAAAACAATCCCCAAATGGAGGTTTACTATTGGGTTTTCCTCATTCCTGCCCAAATTAAACATATGCCGTATGCCCCACTTTGGGGTGGCTCACCTTACTAACTGTCCCTGGGCGCCCACCGTCGCCAAGGGTCATCACGCTGGGCGGGTCTGCTTTTGTCGAGGGGCAAGTCCTGATGCTGTACTCATCCGCCAACTGCTACCCATCAAAAACATTCATAAACTAGAAAAAGATAGCAACATCAGCAACATATCTATATAATAGGCCTACACCCCTTTGGTATATTTTACAATATTTGACACCCTACTAGGCTTTTTGATTCCAGTGCAGGTTTCTAGTCAACGCGCTTATTAATAATTGGGCAAGTCTTTGGGCAAATCATCCCAGGTAATGGGTGGAACAAATCAAGTCCAAAATTGCAATTTCAATCAACTGCGACATACCCCATTGACATATTGACCCAATTTCATGTGTTACAGTACTATGTCATACTATGTCCACCACTTTAAACAATGGGCTTCGTTATTGGGTTGCTTGAAGCCACTACTGAAGCAGTTGACGGGTCCTGTTCGTACGCATCGGCCTCAACTCCATTGAAACCCGGCTTTTCACCCGACATTTCGCGCGCTGTTGGCCCTAATGGGCCGCGCGTTGCGAAACCAAGCACAAACAGCTGAGGACATACATGACGATCTGGGATCTGCGACAAAAACCACTTCCTGTGATGATGCACATGTTAACTAAGTGCATGATATAGCACATGCCAGTTCACATGGTGAGAATGCAATTATTTCTGGCTTCAAACCCAAACAAATTGGCAACATGGGGGTATTCTCATCCCATCGTCAGGGACGGTCAAAACCCAAACTTGAAAACATCAATGTGCCAACCCCCCAAAAAACGGTTGGGTATGGCCCAATTTAAAGGTGTTTGTACACCTTTGCTGGTAAAGTCATCCCAACATAATCCAAAAACATATAAAAACATATCAATCATTATGTCCAATAAATATCCATTAATCCCAACATAAATCCCAACATAATCCAACCAATAACGGTGTTTCTATCGTTGCTGCCTCTTCTCTCTCCGCAGCTGGTCCAGCTCGTCGGATTCGGCCGTGGCACGTTTGAAGATCCTTCGTCCATGGGTCATGGTTGTGACTTGGGGGATGAAGAATCCTGAAGAATCCCGCAGGTCTGATAATATGGAGCCATTTCATTGCACTTTAAAAGTACAGTGTATATATATATATATATCAGTATATATATAAATATTCACATATTTGACATATTCTATACAGGGAAGTGAGACATGCTCATCATTTAGTGGTCTCTTCCACCCAAAGAAAGACAGTCTGCATATTTCTCGAACGACGTGGATCGCATACCGTTCCATTCATTTCCCATATTGGGTGGTAAATGATGAGAAAACAATATGGGAAATACCCAAATCATTGGAGGGTATACCCACATCATGGGTAAATCACCTTGGTATACCTGGGTAAATCATCTAGGTTCCATGGAAAAAAGGGAAACATATGTCCTTTCCAATAATAAATCCCGAAACACATCGTGCCCAGGCTCCGATGGTGGGCTTCACGGCTACGGGTTGCAGTGGATTTCGCCCTGTCGATCCAAGAGCTTCAGACCAGCTGACGCCACAAGAATGACCGTTGATTAATGATTAAACACTAATTACATATGACTAAATGTTACAGATTGTTGCCGCATATGTAATTTGCATGTTGATCTTTCCGTTTCCGTTTGACAATTGAAACATAAAAACCTCATGAACCATCGACAGAGCTCGTAAAGTTTGTACAGTACCATGGTGGCGTGCTTTCTTCACTACAGGGGCTTCAGGGGCACATCTTTGGTTGCTATGCACTCAAGAAAACTCAGATAGAACGTACATTTGCCTATTTTCAGTATTTCTCTTCCCCTTATTGGGATCAAATCCCAATTGCAACTATGGCAATGTTCTTATTCCCCATCACAATCAACAGCCGCGAGCCTTCGCTGTTCCACAAGCTGTCTCACGCGATTCTCCTTTCAAGAGCAAGGATTAAACGCCAGAGCCCTTTTTTACATCCATAACCGACAGGACACATCTTGATAATATATATATATATAATATGTACCTATATACAGTCTATACTACACACAGCATGTATATATACATATATACTATTGTGACATATGACATATCATATAAATTCATATAACATGTTTTTTTTTTTGCGGCGCTTCTCAGATTTGCCGATGTACTCACCATCAAAATGAATGCCAGGGTGATCCAGGGTGTGGTGGAAAGTTCAGCTGTCAGTCCTCAGAGATTCGCTGGTCTTCAGCAACCAGGTCTATGGCAAAAGGACTTTTCTGAAGCCTCCTGAAAGGTGGGTTGGTGATCAAATGACCAGATTTTCCCAGGGAACTGATGAGATCTCGGTGGATCCCAGGAGCTTTAAACATGGCGCCAAAGCCTAGGTTTGCCCACCTCCCAATAACATACCTAGACGATATCATGTAGTTGTCACCTGAGGACAAACGAAAACACTGGCTATACACAGCGATTTTGACTTTAGATATCAGGATTTAGGGCTTTGTTTTTTTTTGGGTTTATTGTTCTGGAAAGTCAAAAAAAGCTAGCCCTATGCAAGGATTTGAGCATGTCAAAGGATATGCGGGATCGATGGTGGGCAAACATAGGGTTTGCAGCAAACAGGTTTTAAGTTTAAATTAAGATGTTGGTGTAACCATGGTGATTTGATATATATATATATATTGATATATCTATCTATCTATCTATCTATCTTTCTTAATAGTGATCAGTGATACATAATGGGATTCAACCAACAACCAACGGATCCTTGGTCGATCATCCCACGTCCCCCTGCCTGGCCCATCTCTCGTCCCTTTCGCGCTGCGAGGCCAGCAAGCGATCCAGGTAGACGCGCCTCCAGCAAACCCGGGGGTTGAACATGGTTTAAGCATCATTTAATGGGCATATATGGTGATATATGGGATAGAACTATTTGAACTATATAGAACTTATGTAGCTATATGAATATGGACAAGTCATTGGGGCATGACAACATATGACAACCTCCTATGGTAAACCTGCTGTATGCACCAAGGACATCCAAGGACCACGGATGGGATCTGCAAGGATCTGGCCTATCTTGCTTCATATCGTGCTTCACTGCATCTCTTTGAGCAAAGCGGATACTCATGATCTTCGTTGACTCCTCTCTGGCCTGAAGTGGTTCTCACCGGATGCTCCGGACATGTTTGAAACAAGCTGATCAAATTGACCTCTCCGGTCTGTTCGGGAACGCCCCGAACAAAGCCGGAGGATAGTGTGTGGTTCCGGATTAGGGATCTTGATCAGGAACAATTCATATTGGTGCATGAAGGGAGCCATGCACCTGTCTGGCATGCATCTATCCATGTTGGCTCATGCATGGTAGTTGTGCGACTAGTCTGCCCAATCATTCCGCCAATCACTCCACCAATCCTGGCATCACCTGGCAAAATCTTGAAGGATTTACCTTTTGAGCTCAAAACATTATGCCAACAAAACATTGAAACTTAATTATACAATTAATTATACCACTTACATCCACTTAGATACACCAGTAATATCCAGTAATATGATATAATACGATATGCTTGCAGTTTGGGGTCTGCGGCCCACACATCCTCCAGGATGCTGCTACAATGGCAACCCACGTCACAGGAATTGGTTCAAGTGACTTTTGCGCACATTTCCAATCTCCTCAGAAGTCGTTCCCTTTCCTGGAATCAGGGTGTGTTGGGTCTCAAAATTGACGAATGGTAAAAGCAACTGGAAACCTGCTGAAACCTGCCGAAACCTGCCGAAACCGATTTGAGGCTTCCCCGATTCGGCGGTCGAGCCTCTGTGGTTGAAGCTTTGGGCAGCAAATGTGTCCTGCTGCCGGAACAGGTCTGCATCTTGCAGCCACAACACATCGACAACTGAGCTGGGATCTTGACATCTCAAAACATATCAAAAAACAGTGGTGATCTGGCCCAATCCCATTGACCTTGACGGGATTGGGGGTCCATACTGATTGTCATCCCAGCCCCCGAACCGGGGCCCAGACATGCCATACTGCAGGAGCTGTGGCCTGAACACAATGTGGATGGAAAGATATTACAAGCTAAACAAATACAAGGCTTCCAGCTGACTTGCGGGTCCTTCTCTTTGCTTCTCTTTGCAATCTTCACATCAGTCCAATCACACAGACCGTTTCCTTATGGCACTATTGTTCGGCACCTCCAAATCATGTTAATTACAAACTTCCATTGGCTTCCACTATCCTTTTTAGGCTTCCACCAGTTGAGCCGCAACAGCATCTCCAGCTGTTCGCATCTCAGGACTTCACTGATCCTCAATGAAGTGCTCCATGCCACTGGAGGTGGTATAGGTCGACTCGCCCCTGAATGATGTCAAAATTTCTCTAATGCTGGACACGAGCATCTACTTGTCCAAGAGCTCACATGCATGTGCATATATGTACGTGCCTGTAATAGGTAACATATAGAGTAATGTGATATAATGTGTGTATGAATGACAATTTATCCATATAGGGATGTAAAATATATGTGTATATATATAGTATTTCCTCGCCCTGCGCCTCAGCAGCCTTTCCCGCTGTGAGGCGCTTCCGCCAACCTGTGTGGAAAGGTGAGGATGAATGGGTACATGAATCTGGGGCACATGGGGCAATATGGAGATCAAATTGTTTACAGGTTCTTCAGCATATCTTGAATCAAGCTGATTGGTATTATTTGGTATATACTTTGAGTATATTTAGTGTATATTTAAAAAGTAGATCAAAATTGACTAAGAACACCCACTGGCAATCTACCATAGAACATGGCCATGTTTAATAGATTTTAATGAGTAACCCATGTACAAAATTCTACAACCGTTTTCCACGGCTATGTTGGATCACTAAGGGATACCCGATTTGCCAAAAGAACAAACATACCAACATGGCAACTGGAACGGATATCCCCCCATATCCACAATTTCAGTAAAGAAATATAGGGAAATATATTGAAAATGGGGTATTTTTGGTATTCAATGCAAAATTACTGTAATTTAATTAAACAATTTTTCAGTATTCTCCAAGAAAAACAGGAAATTCCGAATTCTGCAGTAGGCACATCAACTAAGCGTCCCACATCTTCTCCTCGAGGTCGATCATACGACCTGGAACAGGTGGGAACCCATGCTGGCTGGTGATGGTTTCGAGTTACCCCACTTCAATGGGAATAGAGAAACGAGTTTAATATCAACATGAACATGATACATATATTTATCAATATAATACATGGATGTTTATATATTAATAAATATATATATAGATATATAGTACCTACTATGTGTATCTATGTATCTATGTATCTATGCATCTATGTATCTATCTATATGTCTGTCTGTCTGTCTATCTATCTATCTATATCTAGCTATCTATCTATATATATCTATCTATCTATCTATATCTATCTATCTATCTCTATATCTATATCTCTATCTCTATCTATCTATCTATATCTCTATCTATCTATCTATCTATCTATCTCTATCTCTATCTCTCTCTATCTATCTATCTATCTAATCTATCTATCTATCTATCTAATCTAAGCTAATCTATCTAATCTATCTATCTATCTATCTATCTAATCTATCTATCTAATCTAAGCTAATCTATCTAATCTATCTAATCTATCTAATCTTTCTATCTATCTAATCTATCTATCTATCTAATCTATCTAACCTATCTAATCTATCTAATCTATCTATCTATCTACCTAGCTATCTATCTATCTATCTATCTATCCATCTATGCATGTATGCATGTATCCATGTATCCATGCATCTATGTATCTATGTATGCAAGTATCCATCTATCCATCTATCCATCTATCCATGTATCCATGTATCAATGTATCAATGTATTCTATGTATGTATGTATGCATGCATGCATGCATGCATGTATCTACGTATCTATGTATCTATGTATCTATGTATCGATGTATGTATGTATGCATGCATGCATGCATGTATCTATGTATCTATGTATCTATGTGTGTACGTGTCTATGTGTGTGAGTATGTATGTATGTACGTACGTATGTATGTATGTATGTATGTGTGTATGTAAGAAGGTAAGTATGTATGTATGCATGTATGTATGTATGATTATGTATGATTATGTATGATTATGTATGATTATGTATGATTATGTATGATTATGTATGGTTATGTATGATTATGTATGATTATGTATGATTATGTATGTATGTATGTATGTATGTATGTATGTATGATTATGTATGATTATGTATGTTTGATGATGTATGATTATGTATGAGTATGTATGTATGTGTGATTATGTATGTATGAGTATGTATGAGTATGTATGATTATGTATGATTATGTATGATTATGTATGATTATGTATGATTATGTATGATTATGTATGATTATGTATGATTATGTATGTATGTATGTATGCATGCATGGATGGATGGATAGATGGATGGATGGATGCATGCATGCATGGATGCATGTAGGTATGTATGTATGTATGTCTGTATGTACAGCATGTAAATCTATGCGTCTACATGGACATGTGCATGTCTAATTATGTATATGTATATGGTGGGCTATACCCCAAGTGCAAAGCATCCATGCTGTATGGATAATCCAAATCTATGCTGCAGCAGCTTGGTCAGCTGGGCGTGCCTATCGGTGAGGTGTCCAGGCCGCAAGCCTTCGGCCAGGATTTGCCAGGGCACAGGAAACATCTGTGTATCATGATTACACATATTGGTCATTGGTGATACCACATATTCTAGCAAATAATTCGAACACACACACACACACGCACGCAAATACACACGCATATACACACACATGATCACACACACATAATATATATATATATATCATAACGTCATAACATATCATAACATAAGGGCATCATAGGGCATCCCATAGATATCCATAGATGTAATATTGGATTGCGGTGGTGGCGGTGATTTGGTCCTTCCAGCATCACCGAGGGCCCGCCCTGAACTCTAGCCCTGAATACACTGCAAAGCACTGCCACGTAAGCATGCCACCAAAACAAAGTATATTGTATATAGCGAAACAAATATTTAATAGAGCACCATGGTCCTCTGATATATTCTAATATATGGTCATCATCAGGGCACACCATTTTTTTTTCTCTATCACCATGTTCAAAAGATGGTAAAAACTGCACCCCGCAGCTGCTTGCACCTTCGGTGAAGAATTGAGGAGCTGCCTGCCATTTGCTGGTCATTTCTGCTTTCATCTGATTTGGCTTGGGCCAGGAAGACTGTCAAAGTTTGAGTTTCTCTCTGCTTCCCATAACAGACTTTTTTCAGACCGGTATCTTTTAGACACATTGCCGCCTATTTCTGTTTTTGGGGCAAATATGGTCCAACAGCTAGGGCCTAGAGTTTTGATCCATGGGGTCCCGCCTTGTAGTTCAAGGCATTCAGACTGCTGAACTCCGCAATGATAGGGCCCTCCATGGTTGCACTTTGGACGGAGGCGCCACCAGACCAACTGGGACCAAAGACTTGTAGAACCTTTAACGGTGAAAGTATGCAACTACCTCTGCCTTGCCATAGTTGATGCTCGTTGATGGATGTGAAAACATGGGCAGTCGACTGGGGAAATGCAGCCATAGGTTGGCCAAAAAGCATTGTTTGAGTTTGTGTGAGATTTGGCATGTGACTGTCTTGCATGTCCCTTTGGACCAACAATGGGGAAGGCAGAGGCATGTATTTGACCGAATTGCAACATAGTGCCCACCTCGGTCGCCCATTTGTTGGCTGTTGCAGCATTGATTACGTTGGAACCATGCAAGCCAAATGCAGTGTGCATGTCCCAACCAAAAACCAAATCATTCCAAGTCTACACCTCAAACAAAGCTAATCGCACTTCACGATCTATATAGATATTTCCTGATCTTTCCAAATCTTCTAACTCCCGACCCGCCTAAAGTCTTTGGATAGGCTCCTTGTAGCTTGATGAATGACATATCGTGCCAAATCAACCCCCAACCCAGTGATACGCTCAAAGCAGCTTTCTGCTTTTGCGTGGTGCTGTGTGAGGTGCCCAATTCCACGCTAATCTCAACTTCTGCGGATGAAATAAGATTGGCCAACATATCTTTGATGTGGCCTCGGTACCTCCCAGAGCTGTGAAAATCGGGATTTTGCAAAGCATTCCAATATGTTTAATCTTCACCGGGGCCTGTTTGCAATATTCTACGCAGTGCCACTTCCACAAGAAAATTCTCTTTGCCGAACATAATCCACTTTGTTGTTAGTTTTAGTACTTCAAAGGGCCTAAACACCCTCTCCCAGAAGCACCTGGAGGCCAACTGTTGTGGGCCTCAGCGGACTTCAAAATGGCAGCTTGCACAAGGGGTACCAAGTAGGGGAAAAAAACGCATACTGCATACTGCACTATACACCCCTATACATATGCACACATACAATACCTATAGATCAACTATGTTTTTGCCGTACTCAGTGGAAGGACATGTGCTCTTGCTTATATTACAACATTCAACTCCATATATATATACACATAATAACTATACTGTATATATATATTTCAATAGATATGTATATATATTTAATATAAGAAAAATAACTATACATTAATATATTTGATAATATATAGACTAATTAGAAATATATATATATAATTATATAAATGTATATATATACTGATACATACAATATAACACAGAATCATGCAAGTTTCGAATCATGGACCAAAACAAACATGTTGGTCGAATGGTGGACGTGATTGGAGTGGTTCATCCACAGGGTTTTTGAGGTGAAACGTGTTGCTGCAAGATGCTGTGCGTGACTTCTGACATCAAAGAAGGACATGTTCAGCTGGAAAATGCCGTTTGTTTGCAATTCCATCACATCGCACCAATAATGGCCAAGCTAACGTGGATTCCTCTGAAAAACTAGGGGTATACGGTATAATTACCCCCAATCTATGGCTACATTTCAACACAGGAACATGACGCTACACCAAAGCTTGGAGTATCCAAGGCCGCCCAGCCAGCGTCGCCAAGGGAAGTCTCTGGAACGTCCTATGGGCCGAAACAGCGCCAAAATTTGCAGAGATTTGCCAATTCAATTCTGCCGTGATGTGCTGATCATGTCCGTTCATGGGTGTTGATGTTTATTTGTCTCTAGACGTTGTTCATTCGATTTGTTCCAACATGACGATAATCGAAGGAAGTTTAGAAGTCAAATTTCCGACAATATGGACAGATGAAAAGCAGAGATGGGAAGAGTCAGAGAGAAGAGAAGAGTAGAAGAGAGAAGATCAGAGAAAAAAAGAGTCAGAAGAAAGATGCAGATGCGCGAAAAGGTAGGAAAGTCGCGAAACACTGTGTTTATCCAATGATTTGTGGCTCCTGAGGGTCGAAAAGTAGGCTCGCTAAAGCGGCGGGTGCGGAGCCATCTGGTCAGATGAGAAATGAAAAATTGCACGCCGTTGTGGCGCGAAGCACGTTTCCAAGTCAAACTGTAAAACACACACCAGGGTCGGACCAATTGTGGAAGTTGAGATATCGAAAATGTGCACGCCGTTGTGGCGCGAAGCACATTTCCAAGTCAAAATGTACAAAGCACTCCAGCTCCGGACCACTTTTGGAAGTTGAGATGTCGAAAAAGTGCACGCCGTTGTGGCGCGAAGCACATTTCGAAGTTAAAATGTACAAAACACCTCAGCCTCGGACCACTTTTGGAAGTTGAGATGTCGGAAAAGTGCACGCCGTTGTGGCGCGAAGCACATTTCGAAGTCAAAATGTATAAAGCACATCAGTGTCGGACCACTTTTGGAAGTTGCGATGTCGAAAAAGTGCACGCCGTTGTGGCGCGAAGCACATTTCGAAGTCAACATGTTAAAAACACCAGGGGTTCGGACATCTTTTGGACGTTCAGATGTCGTCTTGCGTGGCCGGCACAAGGGATTGTGCACCTTCTGAAAAGTGAGCAAAACGTGAGGGTATTGTAGCATTTCGCAGGCGTGGGACATTTGAAGAGGATCTGCAAAGATGCATTTCGCGTGGCAGGCGCAGTACAAAAGACATGTTCAATCATGTTCATCAGAGATGTTAGGAGGTCAGGGCGCTGAATTCCTGAGAGGGGTTGCATTTTGGAGCATCAGATCTATAGGTTTGCTAAGATGATTTTGCGTGACAGATGCAGCACTTCATATGACCTGGCATCAATTTTTCGTGGTAGGCGCAGTACTTTAGACAGGTGGAGTGGAAAAATTGCAAACCGCATTGGTACGAGGCCGTCGGCGCTGCACTCAACTTTCCATTTTTGAAGAAAGTCTCGCAGAATTGTATCGTTTTTGATGTTGTCAACTCCGAAAATTAAGGAAGTCTCCCAGAACTGCTTCGTTATTGATGTTGTCAAGTTTGAAAACATGAAGAGGTCTCGCAGAATTGTTTCGTTTTTGACGTTGTCAAGTTCAAAAATTGAGGAAGTCTCCCAGAATTGCTTCGTTTTTGATGTTGTCAACTTTGAAAAATGAAGAAGTCTCGCAGAATTGCTTCGTGATTGATGTTGTCAAGTTTGAAAAAATGAAGAAGTCTCGCAGAATTGCTTCGTTTTTGACGTTGTCAAGGTCAAACATTGAGGAAGTCTTGCAGAATTGCTTCGTTTTTGATGTTGTCAACTTTGAAAAATCAAGAAGCCCCGCAGAATTGCTTCATTTTTGACGTTGTCAAGTTCAAAACCTGAGGACATCTCGCAGAATAGCTGCGTTTTGAAGCTTGCAGATAGACAGGTAGATAGATAGATAGATCGATCGATAGATAGATATATAGATGAGATAATTTGATAGATAATTAGATAGCTAGAGAGATAGCTAGAGAGATAGATAGATAGATAAATAGAAAAATAGATAGATAGATCGATAGAGAGATAGAGAGATAGAGAGATAGAGAGATAGAGAGATAGAGAGATAGAGAGATAGATAGATAGATAGATCGATCGATAGATAGATAGACAGATAGATAGATAGATAGACAGACAGACAGATAGAGAGAGAGAGATAGATAGATAGATAGATAGATCGATAGATAGATAGATAGAGCGACCGATCGATCGATAGATAGATACATAGATACATAGATAGTTACATAGTTACATAGTTACAAAGATAGATACATAGATCGATACCTAGATAGATGGAAAGATGGATGTTTAGATAGATAGATCGATAGATAGATAGATAGGTAGATAGGTAGATAGGTAGATAGGTAGATAGGTAGATAGGTAGATAGGTAGATAGATAGATAGATAGATAGATAGAGAGAGAGATATAGAGAGATAGAGAGATAGAGATAGAGAGATAGAGAGATAGAGAGATAGAGAGAGAGAGAGGGAGATAGATTAATTAGATAGATAGATAGATAGATAGGTAGGTAGGTAGGTAGGTAGATAATCAGAGAAAAAGAGAAAAGAGAGAGAAAAAGAGGAGACATCAATCACCTTTCGATCCATCAGTGGCTTCGCTCTGCCTTCCGTGATTCACAACAACCAACCTCTCCTATAGGTTTCCTATTTTTGAAACTTCCGCCAGCGCCTTGTGCGGTACTACTGGTTATGGTCACATATGTGGTCACATATATGGTCACAAATGGTAACAAACACATGTAATTAGTTGATATTAGTTGGCTTATGTGTTGCTTGTGATTGTTGGAATGGATCATCTGTCTGTCACCCCAGAAGCTCGTGACCACATGAATCACTCAGTGGCCTTCATCGCTCGTAAAGCTCCGCGCAAGATCTGGGTTAGAAAAAGTAAGGCCTCCACAGCAACGGCCGCGAACTTATGCTTCGGCTATGCAAAGAGGTATGTATAATCAACACGCCGATGCATATTGACCATATGCTCAAACAAATGGAACATCATGAATGTATATATATATGTGTGTATATATTACACTGTATATTATATGTACTGCATGTACTCGAAACTTCTTGAAGCCCGTGTTTTTATATATTTTTTTGCTAGGGCATCCAGGGGGGTTGCCCAAAATGAAACAACATTTACAAGTCAACGCAGCAAATCACTGGACACTCTGTGGCCTGCAAGCGCAAGGCGCTCAGGCGCTCCTGCAGAAGCACTGGCAATGGATGGCAATGAACGATTGCTGTGCCCAAGGTACCCCCGCAAAAAATATCACACGGTCTAAATTTCGCGCTCACACACACACACTCTCTCTCTCTCTCTCTCGCTCGTTTGTCGATCTTTTAGGGCATCATGATCGGGCAAACCATATTGTGCAAGACTGATAAATATCTGCTATCAACACAGTTCCAGTGGCTGTCCGGCGAGCACACGGGCAAAAGCATCTCTCCTGCAAATAGCGCAACCCAGTGAGAAATCGCCAGGCAGAAGCATGACGAAGTGATGCCAAGTTCCCCCCACTGGAATGCTTATGAATGATTCACTTATTTTGTAGACACATCATCCGAACATATCCGAACTCTTGCGTTGTTTGATTGGCGATTCGGATCGATTCGGCGATTCCACACATCGATTTCGCTGATTTTGCTGTAAGTCTCTGTAAGTCTTGGCCATGCGTTGGGGGCAGCACCTGGCACATCTTGCACCGGGAGCCTCACTGACAGGGCCAGAATTCCTATGGATTCCTGCATCAACCTCCTGAAATTGAACATCTGAAGATCAACCGAACCCCCCAAAAAAACATGTGGAAGATCATCTCAATATCTCAACATGGAAATCAAGATTTGGCCGCTGGGCCATTTTTGGGAGCATGCTCATAAATTCATGGCCCAACCTATCCATCTATCATCATTTATCCACGTATGGTGCGGGAGTTTAAATATTTTTCCATGAATCTCGCAGCGAGGCGAGAAAACAAATGCCGAAGAAAACCTGCCCAAGCAAGCAGGTGACCCATGATCCTCAGCTAAGTTGAAAGATGGAACACATAATACCCACACACACATTTTAATAGATAATTACATATTTTCTACAATAAAGTAAATGAATGCACACACACATATATATATAATGTATAATCATATCTCTATATATATATATGTGTGTGTGTTTATTTCTATCATATGTACACTCAAATTGAGACCTTGCAAAATGCGGTCTCTGCGATTTAACAAATTCCGCTGAGACGGCAACTCTTCGTCCTCACAGAGTGACACCTGCAGCCCAACATCATCAGCACCCATGTTCTAGGGGACCAAGATGAAGCGACAGGTACATGGCTGCATGTCATTCCATGTCACTTGTCGCAGATTTACTGTATACTGCACTTGCACAACTGGTTGCCAATGTATACTGTAAATTAGTTTTAGTGCATGTGTAAAATCAAAGAAACAGTTTCAGGGATGTGCACACAACATAAATCAATTCATGCAGGTTATATAGACTATGGTTATATCATGCCGTACCATGCCGTAGACCAGTGATGGTTTCTGGATGATTCCGATGAATGCTTCACCGTGCCTCCAACGCCCGCAGCAAGGGTTCTGTTGCTTCCAGAGTTGGTCGCAGCAGCACATCGTCTGGGGAAAGCGAGGCCTCGTTCCAGGCACCAAAATGCCATCCAGGGTAGCACTTGGGGGCCTCAAAGCTAGCAAATTGGAAGTTTTATAGCATTTTATCAACTACTGTAGGACTACCACAGCTCAGATTTGGCCACTTCAATATTCAGCCACATCATAACCAGAATTGGACTGGATCCACTCTACGAAAAAAAAGGAAAGGATAATTCCCACCCGAAACACAGAACATCTTGGACTCACATTCTGCCAATACACCGGACCATTTTTTGGCTTGGCATGACTCACACCCAGGTCACTTATTTATGATGCTTATCCCGCATTTTTGTTGGTACTTGGTAAAAGAACATGTGTGATCATGCTTGTGCCATGCTTGTGCGCACGCACATGCACACGCAGAAATCATGACAGTAGCACTTGCAACATATAGCTGCAGGATATAGATATATGTGGGTTAAACATGATTAAACTTAAACAAGGCAAAAACCATATTATAACATTATAACAACATTTAAATACATTTCAGACCAAATTAAACCCAGGTAACCACGCATAAACCAGGTTAAACGCTGGTTAAAAACCCAGGTTTAAGAGAACACAACAATCTCATTTCGCTAATATTAAACACCCCCCCGGAAACCATGATTTAGTAGGGGATTTCCGCAGAATTGGGACCATTTAGGGTGTGATAAAAATCATTAGGGGGATGGGGTTGGGGCCAGAGATAGATGATTTACAAATGATTTACCTATTTAATGATGATGATATGATGATTTACAGATGATGTACCTATTAAAAACATCAAACAACGGTGATTTTATCATCCAATGTTCCATCCTTCCGCCTCCATGAGCTCGGCTCGATCACCTCGAGGATGGCCCGACAGGGTCTCCACCGCGGCCTGAGCAAGTCACAAGAGCTGGTTTGTTTGAGCAAAAAAACAACAAATTTGGTCAGTAAATTAGATGATAATTTATCTAAGTATCCAAAATTAAACTAGTTAGACTACAAAAGCTCTGGTTTAGTAGTTACTACTCTCTTGATCGCCGTCTCAAGGAGTTCAGCAAAGGTAAAGTCTGGTTTAGTATGGTTTAGTACTTTCTTTGGTTTAGTCATAGTACTGGCCCGATTCAGCTTGGGGGGAAATCAATGTAATTATCCAATATTCTCAATTTTTCGATGGGATTATACTAGAAATTGAGTTGGAACATAATCTCCCTGAGGACCCCGCCAACAGGTCCTCGCCGGACTCGAAAATCTCCAGGTAATCTGCCTGACATCAGTTACTACCGCAAGTCACCAATCTACCCATCCCTTGATGACCAAGAAATATGCCAAATTTGCATAGCCAAGTTTCTTGGGTCCTTAATCATATCTTGTTAAGCCAACATCTAAACATGTTCAACACCTGGCCTCGTTTTCTGGTAAAATCATACCATGAACTGCCAGAATCTCTGCCTTACAGCCGCACATTGCTGCTGTGTTGCAACGCCTGTCTTAGTTTGCCGATGGGGCCTTGGGCTATTATGGGCCATGCCTCTACGATCCTGTGAAACTTTCTACATCATGATCAGCTGAGGATGGACCTTTGATAATTTTGACCCGCCCAATTTTGATCATGGATATCTTAGCAATCACATGATGTTGGATGTTTGAATATAGGGTAGTAACATGTATCAAACAACATCTTCTGCATTGGTACCCCAATTTGACCCATGTCTATTTACATCTTCCCCTGGAGAAGTTGGGGTCCCGGCTGCAGACTCCTCACCGTAGCAAATCCTGACCTCCTGGCGGGGAGAACAGGGACCCTTCAGGAGATTTCGGGATCCAAGATGATCGATCAAAACCAGTGGCTAGTAGCGGATGGAGCATGATGGACCATGATGAACTCATGCTACGCTGCTAACACAGCAGGCTCAGCCTGTTGATGATCCCAGTTGGCAGGCTAGGAGGCTGTGACAACTCATGCTACCCGGAAGTGGTGCAACCTACCCAGAGTTAGATCGACATTTAAGGCTACTCAACTCTTTGCTCACCAGATCTATTTGAAGTTGAAATCATCTCAATCATCATCTTCAGACTTCAGATTTGTTGGCAAGGAATGCCTTGAACCTTGAGATCCCGTATGTTCCCATCACATTCCAGCCATTTCCAGCCTGGGATTAGTTTCACCACGCTTCACCCATGGCCATCCCCTCGGTCTGGCCTTTCCAGGAGCCACATTTTCCAGGGCTCGCACCTGGCGACATCATGGCGATTCAACCAGCAGTGACCCCCCCTATAAATAGATGGCTATGATATCTTATGATGCTTAGATTAAGAAAGCCCTTACAATCCTAGTGATTAACACCGGGCTTACGGTAGTGAGAATCCAGAGGCGATGATGCAGAACACCCCAATTAAGCCTGCAATACCCTTCATAACCTCTATTAACATATATTAACTTAACATATATTAATTAATATTCGGTTAATAACATATATTACCATATTATTGACCATTCATAACCCTCATCAATAAGCCCTAACCCAGTCACCTCGAAGCGCTCGCCATCCTCAGAAAGCGACCAGGCCCTCAGCCACTTCGCCGGTGGAATCCCCAGAAATCGGCCAAGAAAATGGGTAAATATAGGTAATGTATGGGAAAAATGGAGGATTTTGCCAGAGGAAAGCATGATAATTATATATAATTCAATCACAGTTCAACGACGTGCATGTGCACTCGGCTGCTGAGCAAACTTTTCATCCTCTGGAGACGTGGGTGATTGAGGATGAAGATGGGTGGATCAGCCCATCAGATCGATGCTGGGGGGATCGACCCCAGATGAAAATAAACAAAACATCACACATGCAAACAAGGAGTAAATCAACTCCTTCAGCACGAATAAATAAAACCTCACCACAGAATGATCTCTGTCTGACCCAGTGGGGTTCGACCCCTCAAATAAACTGAATGAAAATCAAAATAATCGCAAAGGGAGTAATCAACTCCAGAATCACATCGCACCACCCTGCCGATCAAAAGAGTGAACACCCTTTAAAACCTGCAACCCGCATAATGGCAATGAAAAACCAACATGGGGCTAGAGGTGGGTGGGACAAATCCCAAATGAAATCACTGATCAGATCTTGAGCCAAAATGGCACCAAGAACTGGTCAGTGCCATTGGCTCAACTGAGATGATCAACCTCAATGTTGTGATCACAACAATTCAAATCACATCAACTGAACCCGATCGGGTACAACAAATAAAATAGAAAAAGAAGATCAGTCGCATCCAGTGACAAGAACTGTAACATTGATCCACTTATCCCTGACCTACCAACCGAAGATAAGTGACCCAATCACAGTTCAACGACGTGCATGTGAACACATGCACTGCACTCGGCTGCTGAGCAAACTTTTCATCCTCTGGAGACGTGGGTGATTGAGGATGAAGATGGGTGGATCAGCCCATCAGATCGATGCTGGGGGGATCGACCCCAGATGAAAATAAACAAAACATCACACATGCAAACAAGGAGTAAATCAACTCCTTCAGCACGAATAAATAAAACCTCACCACAGAATGATCTCTGTCTGACCCACGCCGCCTAGAGATCAGGAAAAACCGCTGATATAGTATCCCATCCAAGAGACTGACCAATGCCTAATCTGCTACGAGATGGTGGATCAGCGGGATTGGAATCTGTAGGGACTCGATCGATGTACAGGTTAATGTGAACATCAAGAGCCAATTTCCAAAACACTCCTACCAATTCGCAAAGATCTTCACGTGCAGAGTAACCTTTCACTAACGCGCCTTGAACAGGTTCAGAGTCAACAAAGAGCAGGGACCAAGAGTTGGAGATCCAGGGCTTGAAAGTCTGGAGCGCCACGACCGTAGCGAAGAGCTCCACCATGGCGATCTGTGACTTCCGCGGGATCCACTTATCAATCAAGTCCATGCCCACTTTGCATCCAAACTGGATCGGTCTGGCGCCTTTCTTGAACAACACGCCGCCAATCCAAGGATCTTGCAAGTCGCTCTCCTGATCGGGGAAACTGCCATCTGTGAAAATGACGTAGTCAGCAGGTCGAGCGCCCGATGCAGTGATAGGTCTTGGAGGTCCATGATCGATCAGCAGCTCCCACTGTTTCAGCGCGAGCTTTAGAGCAAGGTTGAGACCAGTCTTGGGCGATCTCGTGTACTGCCTCTCTGAGAGAGCTCTCAGAAAGGCCCTGCCGATCTTCCCCCACAACTGTGAAGCGCCAAACATGAGCTTGCCGCGCAACTTGCCTGCTTGTCCAGGCGACAAGATCTCGGAGGAGAGGATAGACTTGATCTCGTCCAGCAGCTCCTCCTTTCTCGAAGGTTTGATCTTCAGGCACATAGCTTTCAAATCGTAGGTCACCCCCAAGATCGTGGGGTCCTCGCAGAGCTGGAGCTTCTTGGGATCGAATTTGGCACCTAGCCACCAGTGAACCTTCTGAGCAATCTCGAAGGCTGAAGAGCAGGTGACTTCGGTTTCGAACCCGTACTTATCATCGTAGAAGTTGAAGGCCGCCACGAAAAAGACCCTACGAAGTATATCAGTAATAGCCGCAGATCTACGATTGTAATTGTAGACCGCCGCTACCAATCCAAAAGAATGACCAATCATGACGAAAAATGAGATCTTCCCTGTGTCAGGTTCGCGGAGCGAGATCACGCTCCATCTCCGGTGATCAGGGTGGATAGGAATCTGGCGGTAAGCTTTTCTTTCGTCCAGAACCCACCCCTGCAGTTTTGTAGAGCTAGAGCACGATGACCTCATCCACCTCAAAGCAGACACGTTCGCATCTGTAGATGGCAGCTCGATCTTTTCCAGGATCCTGGACGCCATGTTGATGCCATTGATCGTGGCACTGTCCACACCTCTGACCTTGTTCTTCTGCACCACTTCGAACCGCTGAGTAGGGATCCAATTTTCAGTGCCGAGGAACTTGTCGACCTCGTCTTTAGAGAAGAAAGGACCTGCTGTAACACCTTCTCGAACATCTTCCATAGTCGCCTCCCAGATCTTGGAGGTGTTCTCTGTGACTTCGGATCTTTTCACGTTCCGCAAGACCTTGTTGGAAAACTCCCAGGCCCTCGAAACGAGATCTTGTTCTGGAAGAGCATCATCTGGCAGCGGCAATCGCGGCCAACGAAATGAGCGCTTGATGTCGCCGACGATGGAGAAGCCATTGATCATCTCGTCCACCAATGAGCTGTCAATACATCGACTGGCAGCGAGCAGCTCTCGCCACAGGGCGACATGCGTGACCGTGCCAAGCTGAACAGGTTGGTCATCGGGTACTCCGCGCAGTAGCGACCGCAGGTAGGGATCCTGGATAGCACGGAGCTCCAGATCCGTGAGCGGCAAAAGACGCTCAGCCCGCGCAGCCCAGAACTGTAAAGCACCTTGCCGATGACCAAGCAGTTGGTGAGGCTTATGCACGACGAACGACAGAGCCTCTTGAAGATCGGGATCAAGCGCTGGATCCAAAGTGAAAGGATGGGGAACTTGTAAAGCTTGTTGAACAGCTTGACCAGGTTCCATCTCAACCTGCAAGATTGGCGGTAGAGCCGAACGCTTGAGCTGGTATCCTGCATCACGAGCTTTCTCTGCTGTCGCGCGTTGCTTGTGCACGACCCATGGCAATGGCTGGCCGAGCGGCCGTTTCCGTTCATGAGCTGGCACGGCCATCTGGAAGGTGGCAGCCAGCGGATCAGCCTGCAGAGATGCGATCACCTTTGCCCATGCTTGACATAGAAGCGTGGGATAGACCTGAGCTAGCTTGGTTTTGAAAATCTTCTTGCCCTTGGACATGACCATGCCCACTAAGGGTTCGTGAGCATGAGGCCGCGCGTCTCGATCACAGGAGAGCGCCAGCGCACTGAGGTCGCAATCAGACAAGAGCGCTGTAGGCTTCTTGTGTTTGGATTGGAACCTGCACATGTCCAGATTGAACCGACCCACTCCGTCACGAGCCGCCAGAGATCGAACTGGGGGCATGTCCCACAAGTAAGACGTCGCCGGGTTCTCCAGCGACCAATGGACGCCGAACTGGCAACATAAAACCAAGAGCTTCGCAGTGAGGTCCATGAACTGGTTACCAAGCTCGACTTTTGCTTGATCTTGCTGAGAAAGTGCTGGACGCCCCCACAGGTTGTGTCGATCACGCAACGGTGGGGGGCCGCCATCATCTTTGCGAGCTTGGCTAAAAGAAGAGCAGGGTGTGCCAAAATGAATAAAGAAAATGCACCCTGCTTGAATTAACTTGCACAAATGTTGAAAAACCTTGGGATCCAAAATATCAACTTCTTCGACGACAAAATTGTTGGCCAAGATCTCAATAGGGGGCAGGGTCTTAATGCCACGAGCAATGATGGCTTGTGTCAGCCCTGCCTCCCCTGCGAAGACCTCGACGAAAGATTGCGTGCCGGATGGCACAAAACCGGAGCCCCAAAAAGGCGAGGGAAAAACATTCGAGCAGAATTTGCTGTCAACCGTCTCTACCTCATCCAATGGAGCCATTGGTTGATCCCGAACTCAGTGATTGCCTACCATGGAGTGAGCGGAGCCGCAGACCATGCACTGGTGCTTGAACCTGCACTTGTCGCCCAAGGAGCATCCCATGGTGGAGTTGAAATAGTGACATCGCTTTGGGCCAGTCACTGAGCTAGCGGCTTGCACGATCGCTTTCCACTCTGTGTCTGGGATCCGCTTGTCCTTGCTGACCTTCTCGTCTCTTGCTGGAGCTGACTTTTTGTCAGCTGGATCTTTCTTGACTTTGGAATCCTTTGCTTCGCGAAGGAGCGCCTTGTTGCGGAGCCGCTGGCGCTTCTTCCGCTCCTTGTTGGGAGAACTCTTGGGCACCGCCTCGACGACCTTGTCTTGCGAGTCGCCTGTCTCGCTGGCTTCCTCTCTGCGCCGGTCGACTTTGGAAAGAACTGCCTTGGTTCGGGCGTCGTTCCAAAGGTACTTGTGGTTGTTCAGGACCTCGATGATGGCGTCCTCGAACGTGCCATACAATTGGCGCTGCTCAGCTTGCAACCTATTGACCTTCTTCCTGATCAAAGAGTCTGCAGCCAACAGGTAAGGCAGGCCCGGGCACTCCGAGCGAAATTGCTCGAGCTCCTGCATGTAGCGCAGTGGGCCAGCCGCACGAGAATAGGTGCAAATGTTGAGATATTCCAAGGCCATGAAAAAGGCATGGATCCTGTTCATCATGGTCATGGAATCAGTGACCTGATCAGGTTCGTCCGCCTTGGATATCGTCAAAAGATCCTCTGCGTTCTTGGAGAGCCCCGACTTCTGCACTATGCTGTCGGAACGTGTCTGGATCTCGGCCACTGAGTAGTACGGCACCATGCCGTGAACCAAGAAATCACGGCTGAGCTTCTCCACGAACTTTTTGTGGGGCTCCTTAGCGTCCAGCAAAATGACATCTGGGTGGGCTTGAACAAACCGCGCTCGGAACTCAGCATGATCTTCTTGCGCCATCTCCGGAACCTTGTTTGGGTCCTCTTCCATGCACGCCCGCCGGGTGGCGAACTGCCCTTGAAG